TTTTTGTCGTTTTGTTTTTCCACCTTAATGCTAAAGCTAGCACTCTTTTTGTTTTTATCCATGATGAGCTTCTTGTTGTGTCTATTTCTTCAATTTTTTCTTCTATTATTGTCATTAATGTTATTTCTGTTGGTTTGATTTTTCTTTCATGTTCTTTCGTATTGTAATATGTTTTTGTTTCTGGCCATTCTTCTTTCTCCTTTTTGAGCCAACTTGGGCCTTCAAGCCAGTTTGTATTTTGTATTTCATTCATCGAAGTTCCTCTTGTAGCAATGTCTGCCGGGTTTTCTTCACCTTTTATATGTTTCACGTTGTAATTTCTAATTATTTTTGCTCTATTTTCAATGAATGTTTCTAGCCTTTTCTCTGATTTGAGCCATTCTATCACGTCTATTGCATCTGTCCAAAGTTGGACTTCTTCTAACTCTAAATCAATTTCTTTTTCTAAGTATTTTGCTATTTTTGTTGCGATTTTTAGTGCTTGGAGTTCTAGCTTTGGGATTGTCTTATGTTTATTTGGGACGCTCTTTGGGACTATTAAGCTTTTTGCGAATAATAGTTTAGTTACTATTTCTTCTTTCGATTTACATCTTAAATATGCTGCTATTCCCATAGCTTCTTTCGATGCGTCTGCAAATATCTGTAATGAATTTCCTTCTTTATTAATTTTGTATCTTGAAATTCTTCTTGGTATTTCTAATGGCTCTCCTTCTTGCATTTTTGTTATTTTTATCCATTCTTCTTTTAACTTTTTCGATATTGGTTGATCCCAATCTGATTTTTCTTCCCAAATTTTATGTAATAATAATTTGTATGGTAGTAGCACTGGACTTAGTAACCCAAGAGGGTCGAATGTTGATGCATAATGTGCTAATATTGTTCTTTTTGTCGTTAGTGCTGTTTCTTCCCATTTTTTCAATTTAATTATGTATATATCTTTTTCTGGTATCCATTCGATACCTAGTAACTTTGTTCTTTCATTATTACCTTTATCTTCTTCTGGTATTTTATTTATTATTTCTTTGTCACTTGAAATAAATTCTCGAATATTCATTTTTGCCTTGTAAAACACTTCTTTCAATTGGTGATATATTTTTTCTAATTCGTCCAATTCGTCTGTGCCAACAATTATATTGTCTACATAAATATTCTTGAGAATGTTTTTCTTTAAATGATGTTGAACTACGATCCCTAAATGTGCTGGACTACTAATTATTCCAAATGGAACTCTTTTAAATCTATATGTTTTTATTTTACTTTCTTCATTAGCAGGGTCGGCTGGCCAAAGAAAGCGTAGCGCGTCCCTGTCTTTTTCTCTTATACTTATTTGTAGGAAGGCTTTTTCTATGTCTCCTGTTATTAAATGTTCCTTCAATCTTGTCCTGATGAGTATCCCTGTTAAATCTTTTAATAATGTTGGTCCTTTTTCTAAGCAGTCATTTAATGATTGGTCTGATGCTTTACATTTAGCACTTGCATCGTAAACGATTCTTACTTTGCCTGAGTCTTTCTTTACTACAGGCTGGTGTGGTATGTAGTGTACATGTTCTACTTTCTTTGTTGGATCTTTTACTTCTTCTATTATCTCCAATGCTATTTGTTGTTTAATAATTTTGTCGTATTCTTCTAGTAATTTTTTATCCTTTCTCAACCGTTTGAGTGTTGATATTAATCTTCCTCTTGCTAATGCAAAGTTTGATTGTAAATTACTTGCATTTTCGTTCCAAGGTAGTGATACTTCATATCTGTCTCCTGTTTCTTCAGGTGTTTTTATATCATTTTCGAATTGAACCATCCATTTTTGTTCATCCGATATTTCACTTGCGTCTTCCATACCTATCATCTCTTTGCTTAATAATCTTTCCACTTTTTCTGTTAATTTTTCTTCTTCAGTTTCGATTTCAATTTTATTTTTGTCTTCCTCTTTTTCTTCATTATTTTGCTCAAGGGAGCTTTTTAATTTTGTATGGTGATTTTGTGTGTCTAACAGATTTCGATTATTAATTTTTAAATTTCCTTGTCCACTTAATATTTTTCCTACCGTTGATTCGTTAATCCAAAATCCATTTGGCAGTCTTCTTTCTGATTTTATGTAAAAATCATTGTAATTATCATTCCCTATTAATATTTCAGGGCTTGTGTTGTGGTTTGGTACTTTTAATTCTCCTTGATAAAGCTCTCTATACTTTCCTTCTATCTTCACTATTGTCATTTTTGCTAACGGTTGGTCCGTAGCTGACATTTGATAAATTCTTTTTCCTCTTTTTGTTTGTATTCCTAATTTTGTTTTTGCAAGTGTGTAGGTGCCAAGGTTGGCTCCTGCAAATCCTGTTAATTTAACTTTGTTATACTTCTCTAGTTTGAGGTTAAGTTTTTCTGCTAGGTTCTTACTAATGTAACTCTGATCACTACCACTGTCAAAAAAACAGAGTACCTTTTCCTGTTTGTACGGTATTTCTGGATTAAATACCGTAATTGTTGTTGTCAGTAATATACTAGTTTGGTTACTTTCTTCTTTATTTGTTCGTACCGATTGTAATTGAATTTTTTCTTCGATATTATTGTTTATTTGCTTTCTTTCTTCTTTCTTTCCAAATTGTTTTAAACAAATTGCTTGATGGTGTCCTTGCTTCTTACAAAACCAACATATTTTGTTTTTGGTTGAGCATTCTTTGCTCTGATGTCCTGGTCTTAAACAGTTGATACATAGCTTCTTTTCTCTTGCTAGTTTGTATCTTTCTTCTGCTGTTGGGATTTTTCTACAATCCGTTGACCAATGATTAAGGTTACAAAATGGACATGGCCACTTTGGTTTACTTCTTTCTTCTTGCTTTGGTTGAATTTGGTTTTGTATTTACTTCTTTTTTCTTTGGTTCTTCCTTTCTTTGTTCTTTTGTTGTGTATTGCATTGTGGTTTTCCCAAATTTATATGGTGTTTTTTGTCTTTTATCTTCGTTAATTTCTTGATGTGATTCTTTGTATACTTCGTTTACTGCTTGCTCTTCTTTTATGATTTCTGCCAAATTTTTTATTAAGATTTCTGTGTTCCATTCGTTTGATTGTCTCTTCTTACTTAGCATTTGCCTTAAGACGGCTTTGCTTAATTTTTGCTCTATCATTAGAGATATTGCTGGAATATTTATTGTTTGTTTGTGTGTCTTCATTAATCGATTTATTCTTTGTAAGTCGCGTAACAATTTTATGTCGTCGTTAAAATTTTGACTGGTCTTTAATCCTAGTAATTCTTTGTTTAATTTTCTTATTTGTGTTTCTTCTTTCTCAAATTCTTCTTTAAGAATTTCGATTGCGACTTCATAATTTTCTTCTAGTGGTTCTATACCTTTGAGTACGGCTGCTGCTTCTCCTCTTACATGCGCGAAGAGTTGACATATTTTTTGTAACCTTGGAATACTATCATCTTCATGAATTAATAGTTTCCATATAGGCCAAAAGTCTGACCAATTTGGTCCTTCTAATGTTACTAATTTTAGTAACGGTGGTTTGAGGCCGTGGGTATTTCCTCTAGATTCATTCATTGTTGTATTTTGTTCGTTTTGTGGTGTCGGTTCCTTTTGAGACCTCATGACTAAGTAGTCTGTCTCAATTGAGTTCCAATTTCTTATTTTTGTTTTTGCTGTTTTGTAAATACTTTCTATCTGATTTTCATTGATAAAATTTGTTAGTTCATTTTCGGCTTCGATTCTTTCACTTGTCTTCAATTTTTGAATGTTTGCTTCCCATTCATCTTGAATAATCTCAATTTTTCTTGTGTTGCTTTCCAATTCTTCTTTTATTGCTTTTATCTTCCTTATCTGACCTTCAAGTACGTGAATGTCTTCTTCTTCTGTTGGTCCTTTGACCTCTGTTGCTATTAATTCTTTAGTGATCTCGATGATATTTTTTAACTTTCTTTTGTTTGATGTTATTGAAGACATTTTTATTATTTATTTTAATTTTATTTTATAAATTTTTTATTAAAAAATTTTTTAATAAATTTATCCTGGCTCAATAGAGCTTTGGCTTTTGTTTTAGTTAACTTACTTTTATTGTTCTTGCTAACAATTTGATTTTGTCCCCCACTTTCTTTTGAATTTGTTGCTTTGTTGTTTTTGTTGTGAATTTTTACGAAATCGTTCGTTGTCGGGGCTCCAGATATCAGAAACGTCAAATTAAATTAGAAATTAAATTAAATTAGACCCGTACGGGGCTCCAGATATCAGAAACGTCAAATTAAATATTTGGGTTGCTGACAATTAATAAAACGAAGACAAAAGTTTTAATATAATATTTTATTATAGCACCTCAAACTTGGGTAATTAAACCCAAACTAAACAAAGAAATGTGTGAACAAAAAATGTGTGAACGAAAAATGTGAAAAATGAATAAAATCGCGAAATTAATAAATTTATTAAGTTCTTGGGTCGCCACAGGAGAGGGATAGCCAATCATTGTTGTCGGGGCACTCCTTGCCGTTACCGCTCTCTCGGCCAAAGAAGGCTAGGGAACGGTTCCGGCAAGGAGCGCCTGTTGTGGTGTGTTGCTGTCCCAAGTGGGATGAGGAAAGAGTGAAGTGTTGTTGGGAGGAGTGTGCTTCTTTAAATAGTGGGGGTAAATGATTATATCTTCTTTTAAAAATAAGTTATTTACATTACAAAATTATTGTGGGAATGTTGTTGTTAAAAGATGAGGGGAAAAGATTGTAGGCCAAAGAAGGCTAAATAAAAAATCTTTTATTAAAAGAAAAAACATTTTTTATAAAAAGAAAAATTTTTACACAAAAATAAAAAGGAATGTGAATTGATTGGTCGGTGATTCACTTTTTTCACACCGACTGACAAAAGAATAAAAAACAAAATAAAAATTTTATTTTTACCCGGGAACGCCCGAGTCTCGTGTCTCGGGCGTTCCCGACAGTGGAATTAATTTGCGAACTGAACTTGCGGATTTAATTTTCAAATTTAAAAACAATAACTTAAACAAAAAAATTAAAGAAAACAAACCATATCATCATATAAACGAGTAAGAAAAATAGCCACATGTTGACGTGTTTCAGCAGAAACTGGGTAATCACACAATTCGGGTACTTGAGTAGCCAAATGTAACATTTTATAAAGTCCCCTTCCTTCAATAAAACGCCAAGACCATCCTCTAGGCAATCCCCCATCCATATGCATTAAATTCTTCATTAACAAGTCTATAACACATTCTCTAACAAAAACATCAAATTTTGGGTCTGTCAACATTTCTTCCAATTCAAGAATTATGCGAAGGATTGGCACTGAAATTTTGTGAAAATAATAAAATTAAGATAAAATGCCTGAAATTTTAAAATTTTGTTTTTTAAATAAATATTAGACTAGAAACTTAATTTTCATAAGATAGGAAATAGCAGTTAAATATAGAGGGCGCTGAACGGTATCGAACCCCACACCCTTCCACTCCAACACATAAAATTGGCACTGAAATTTTTGGAAAAAAATTTTTTTAATCGAAAATGCTTCAAAAAAATTTTTAAAATCGTTTTTTAATAAATGATAACCCAAATTCAATTAGAAAAGAAAAAGTAAAAAATCGGGGGCCCTGAAGGGGTTCGAACCCCACACCCCCTCTTCCCCTTCTAAACGGGTTTTAAAAAAGTGTCAGATCCTTGTAAAAAATTTTAAATTGTGTTTTACAATAAATATAACAACCAAAACACAAAATTAAACAAAAAAAGAAATTGTACAAATCGGGGGCCCTAAAGGGGTTCAAACCCCACATCACTTTTTCCAAACTCAACAGGTCTCAAAAACACCCTCTCATATCCCCTAAAAAAAGCATTTTAAAATTATTAATATCTGATAAAAATCTGAATTTAAATTCTAACCTAATATTTCACAAAAATTTCAAAATTTATTAAAAAATAAAAATTCCCTTTTTCCCTCTTACATTTATTTTTCTCAACAGTTTCCGCACACGGTTTAATCTCTTTTGACCTATCCATAGCAGCAAGTCCATTAAATACATGTTGGATAACTGTCGACGAAGCCTCCACAAATACTAAAGGTTTTCTAGCAGCTATAAGACGTGTAAGAATTTGGGCACCTCCGAGCAGTTCCATTGTTTGAATTGCCTATAAAAAATTGTTTTGAAAGATTATTTTGAAAAAAAAATTTTGAGCCTCAGAAGTTTCTATCACCCATATATGATAGTTCGAAATTTTCAAATTACAAGTTTTTTAAAACGACCCAGGTCGATGTTCCCAAAACCTTTATCCGCGAGAAAACCCCGAATTTAATCATAAAAGTCGGTTTACGGGCTACTGGGCCAGGAAAACCCCAGTCTTGGCCAGACGATAAACTATAAAAAAAGTGGAAAAAAGTTGGACTTAAAGATCTATAAAAATCTAGAGAAACTGAAAAATGTGAGGAGACATAAACTAAATAGAAAACCTCCTAATCTTATCCCTGCCTATTTTCCTAATTATTCCCGGGCAATTCAAAAGATTTTTAAATCCTAGAATGACCAAAATCAAAAAGAAATTTAATAAAAAATAGAAACCTTCTCTCTCGATTTTCCACTCAATTCAGACAGAACTCGAACAGCAGCTAACGCTTCATTATCAGAATTTTTCTCCACATTTATAATAATTGACAAAAGTTGAGTTACAATTTCTCCATTATTCCACACTTTGTTGGCGCCGTCTGCAGAATCGCGGCAAAGAACCAATAAATTATTTAAAGCCTAGAAAAAAATTTTTTAATTTAAAAAACCCATAGAGACGTTGAAATACTCAAAAATAGTCCAAAAACCCCAAAAAACTTTTCAAAAAATTTCCCAAATTTTTCCAAAAAAATAACCTTAATTTGCATTTCCCCCTCCTTTCCAACATTTTCAAAAGCCAATTTCATCATTTCTTTAGTTTTGCTTTCAGTGCTTTCTGTTTGTTTTAATCTTTCAGAATTTGATTTAACTAGTCGAGCACACAATTCAGTTAAGGACCTTTGAAAAAAAAATTATTTTTTAAATTGCGGACCCAAAAGTTAAACGACCAAACCCGTAGCCAGGGGGGAATTCCCCCTCCCCCCGAAATGGGGAAAAAGAAAAAATTTTGGGAAGGGGGCGCAAAAATATTTTCCCCTTTGTAAACAAAACAAATTTGTGGCCAGGCATCGAACCTTTTAGTTTCCCGTTAAATTCAATGAAATTTTTATTAAAAATTAAGAATCAAAAAAATAAACCTGTCATTAGGCAAAAGTCTCAAAGCTTCTTTTGCATCAGTAAATGCCGAACCAATTTTATCCAGTTTCTCTCTTGCAAGTGCTCGTCTATACAATGCTTTGGCATCATTTGGGCTCAATTTTAATGCTGAAAAAAAATTTTTTTAAATTTTAAAAATTACAAAAAAATTTTTTTTAATTGGACAAAATTAAAGTTTGAAATCATAAGTCATTAAAATCAAAAAAATGAAATTTTCCCCTGTCGGAACGTTAAACAACTGTGAAAAATAATTTTAAAACCTTAAAAATTTAAAAAAAAAAACCCCAAAATTCTCCCCAAATTTTTTCTAAAAAACCACTAACCTTCATCACAATCACTTTCAGCTCCCTCAAAGTCTTCCAATTTAAGTCTAGCCATCGCTCTATTCTTCAAAAGAGTTAACCTCAATTTGTTGTCCGGTTTCAATGCCAATGCTTGACTATAACTATCAACAGACTCAGAAAACTTGTCCAAACTGAAAAGTTCATTTCCCGAATTCTTCAAATGTTCGGCTGTTAAGTCCTCATTTTGTGATAAATTTTCGTCTTTTTGAGGCATTATTTTAATTGTTAAAAACTAATAAGATCTAAAAAAAATATTGATTTTTTTAAAGAGCAACGTCTAAAAAATATCAAAAATCTAAACGGAAAATTCTCGTTTTTAGGTGAAAGAGAAGATACAGACTCCCCTAAAGTTAAAAATTTAGAGGGAAAATTTTAAATTTTTACCCCAAAAGACTCAGAAAAACACACCTAAAGTTTAAATAATTTGGGGAAGGGTTGTCTAGGAAGGTAAAATGAGAAGAAAGATTATGGGGGTGCTGGCATTCCCAACAGTCTTTCACTGGCATAATTGATTTCTTTTATGAAATGTGATCCTTTGAATTTTGAATTTTTTTCTCTCATTAAGAATGTCATAGGGAAATAGTGTGAAATTAATTAAGGAGGAATATCGACATAGTGCGCAGGACACAGCCCAAAACGGCGCGCGGCCATAACGGCGCAAAGCCATAACTTACTTCAAGATTTCCCAATCTTGCCAGATTTAGTATCAAACGATTCCTCACATCGAGCTAGGGAGATTGGTACCAAGATTGACAAGGGCAAGACATTTTCCAGCAAGTTATGGCTTTACGCCGTTATGGCCGCGCGCCGTTTTGGGATGTACCCAGTGTTGGGGAATGGGAAAACAAAAAAATGGAGACACCCTTAGCTTATGCCGAATTGAGTATTTAATCTCACGTCGTTTGGTTAATTCTGCTCCCAGTTTTAATTTCAATTTCCAAATTTTTTGACTCCTTCACAAAAATAAAATGAAAAAAAATAAAATTATTTTACCCTCCGAACAATTAATTGAAATTATTAATTTTTTTCATTTTAATCCAAAATTGACAAAAATTCGAGTATCTAGAATATTCGATTTTTCAGTTATTAAAATTTTTAAACAATGGATAATTCTTTTTAAAAAAGTAGGTTTAGCACTTTGAAAAAAATTATATAAAAGGAAAAATTAAAAAACTAACTTCTAAAATTTTTGTGCCCATAAAGGCGCAAAACCATACCCAAATTGATAAAAGCCAAAAATTTTCTAGTAAGTTATGGCTTTGCGCCGTTATGGCCCCTTTTGGGCTGTACCCCTAAAATTTTAATTTTCAGTATAAAAATGAAATCATTACTGCTTTAAATCGGATTATTTGGATTTTTCAAAATCCAATGAGACAAGCAGCATCTTATTTACATAAAAAACCTTTGGCTGAGTTAAACGTGCGTCTTGAAGGTATTATTGATTGTTTTTTTAAGCAAAACTTAAATTTTAGATATTCCAACTGGTATACTTGGATTTGTTCGCACTTCAGACGTTAGTATCCTAAAAGTTTTATAATCTAATTATAGTATTATTATGGATTTTGTGGCAATCCCGGAGAATTGGGGTTTCTCCGAAAAAATGTTTAAAAATAAGAAAAAGGATTTTTCTAGGGTAAAAAATATACTGATTACGAATCTGAGCGGGACTGAGCCGTTTTGGCGCGGGGCCGTTTTGGCGCGAGCTTATAAGATAGCGAGTTGTTTATCAAAAATGATAAAATTTTGTAATAATAACTCTCGTACCTTTATCTATGTTCTCCAAAAATTTCAGAATTTTTGATCAAGAATTCTGGAAATTATGGCCAAAAATGTTGGTTTTCTGAAAAATGCCTAATTTTTCGAGGTCCATCGACTATAACTTCAGAAATATTTTATGAAAAATTCTGAAATTTCTGGAAGAGGTAGTCAAGGATGTTAAAGAAATTTGAGAAAATTTTAAGAATTTATGTATCGCCTGGGTACCACTTTTTAGTTCTCGCGCCAAAACGGCCCGGCGCCAAAACGACCTCAACCCATCTGAGCTCGTATTTTGAAAAAGCCGAATCCCGGACCCGAATTCGGAATTTGACCCCGGACATTGTACAAAATGGTCAGTCTTTATATGCAGGCCGATTTTGTGTCTGTTTGTTTGTGTGAGTTTGATTTAGAAGTTTGAAAATGGTGGCTTTATTAGTAAAGCATTGCAACTTGGAATGTTGAAGCATTTAGAGTTGTGTTTTGATTTTGAAATAAGCCTGACTGGGTACTATTTAAACTCTCCATTCATCAAACGCTACCTTTAGGGCGCCACCTTTCTTCTGAACGTGTGCCGCAGCTCAACATTCCTTGCCAAGTCAGTCGATCTAGAAAACGTTTGCCTAGTTTGTTTGAGCTTTTTGTTGTTGAGCTTGAGCTCATTACTGTTGCTCAACGTTCCCGTGTTAAGTCAGTCGCTTTTAGGAGTGCCAGTTCTTTTTCTTTACTTTTCTATGCTATGCGGTTTTTGTTCGCTTTTTAAGTAGCTGATGTGTTGAATTTTGAATCAGATTTTAGCGGAATGTTGATGTGGTTAAGGCACATGACATGATTTTAAATAATGTTTTCTTTCATTTTACGTCATTAAGTAGTTAGTATGTTAGTCGTTGGGGTATTGTATATGTGGATAAGGATTCGGGATTCAAGTGGATATGCGAGTGTGGGCTTCCAGAGGTCCTACCCGTTTCTAACCCAATTCACTTAATACTGTTTATATATTTTGTTGATAATTAATTAATAGAGTGAATATTGATAGTGGAATCCAATGGACTAAGTATAAGATAGAATTTATATGATTTAATGTAATTGATAATAATGGAATGGAACTGACATTTGAAATAGGATTTGAAAAGAGGAATAGGATATGGATTGAAGTAAGGATTGGACAGGACTGAGATTAGACTGGACTGAGGTAAAACTGCGACTGACTGAGGATAAGCTGATATTGGACTGAGAATGAGATAAACTGAACTGATTATTGGAGGGAATGAAAACCTTATAAATTGGGAAAAGGGGAGTGAGAAGTGGGATAGGCAATAGTAGACTAGCTGGAATAATTGAGATTGTAAACCTGATAAGTTTGGGAAAGTGGTTGAAACTAAATGGAAATAATAGGAATTAATGTTAGTGGATAATGGGACGTTATTGGGAAAGAGTGAAAATAAAAGGAATTCACATGCATGGATAATGGGAAGAGATTGGGAATAAGCGGAAATGAAAGTGGTTCATGTGAACGAATAAGGAAAAGCTGAGAAAGAATATGTGATTGTAAATAATAACTTAGCAGGATTAAACGGAAGTGCAAAGGCAAAGTCCAAAGAGAGAAAGTTATTAATTTATAAATGGGAAGATAGGAATGGGAATTAGAGCCTGGGATTTGAGTCTGGTATTTAATTGTTTTTGGTTCGGTTCCGGGATACGGGGTTACACCTCCCTTGCCCACCTGGTCGCGTCCCTGCGACCAAATCTAGATTGTGGGGATGCTTTCCTTTGATTGTGTTTCCTATTATTGAGTTGTGATATCGCAAGGTGGCCACATTTGTGTCACACCTGGAGTTATTAAATGTTTTGGAAATGGGAAAAGATTCCTGCGGAGAAAGATTCCTGAGCTGTGCTCTTAATTTTAATGGTTTTGGATTGAATGGCATGGGATATTTCATTGTGGATAGTAATGTAAGAGGAGAAATGTGATATGTAAAAGAGAAAGGATAATGATAATATATTTTTTTAATAATTAGTAAAATTAGTTTTAATTGGAACAAGTTGTTTTAAGTACAATAAGAATATTTTCGTATATTAAGTAATATTGAGAATATTTTAATTTGTTTAGTGAATTGAGGAAATAAAGTTTTGAGTATTGATTGGTAAAATTTTGATATGAATGTGATATGGTTTGTGGCTGTGAGAAAGGGTTATAACAGATAAATGATAAAAATGCAATTTTGGTAAATGGATAGAAAAATATGAGGGAAATAAATTATAGTTTTATTCACATTGTTTGGGTACATAATATATTTTGTTTCTTCAATTGTTATTTGGATGCTAGGAGGGATTTGTGGATTTTATATGGATGATTGGAGGGGATTTGTAATAAAAATGGGAGGCAGTGTAAAACTTCAGTTAAAATTTTCATGATATGATATACAGTTTATAAGTGGGTGATAATACTATTCGAGATGGAATTTTATTTGGGAATAACAAATTTTATTTGGGTTCAATTTCAGGGCGGTTTCATATAAAAAGTCTATCTGAATAGTTAAGGTAAGGGATTAGTTAGAACTTTTGTATGAATAATCTAATAAGGGTTGCGGTTCCAGATTTAATAACAGTTAATGAGGAAAAAATTGATGGGGAACAAATTTAATGGGAAAATTTAACGGGACAAAAATTTTGATGGGAACAGAAAAATTAAACAAAAATTTAAAATTCTTTTCGTGAGTTTTCTGGGGTGGTCAAAGGGGTCGGAGATTCTAAATGGGTGATTAAATAAAAATTGTCTGAGTTGGTGTTAGAATGAGTGGAGGTGAATATATCAATATTGAATGGAGAATTAAATCAGTTGAGAGGTGGGAAATTGAATCTAATATCAGGGGCTTTGATGTGTTATTAAATTTGTTGGAGGTAGAGAAGGATACACGAGACGGCCACTTGCAGTGTCACGTCCGGCTTTATTAAATGTGGAGGTTGAGGGCGGGGTGAGATATTGATTTGGACATCAGTATTTGGTGGAAAAAGAGGGGATGAGACATTTCCTAAGGGAACATAAGACCCACTTTCGTCCTTAATCTTATCTAGAAATCTTACAAAACGAAAAATTAAATAATCAAAAATAATTGAGTATAATATTAAATGTAAAAATGAGTTTCTCGCCAGGGTCCTTGCGATCACCTGGGGTGTTATTAAATTTGAGAAAAAGGTTTGGATGTATTTGAATGTTTGGGTTGGAGGGAATATATAAACTGGGTGGGTTTTATTTATTAAAAAGTGATAATCAAAAAAAAAAATTTTTTTTTTAATTTGTTGAATACTTTTTATTTTGATTAATAATAATTTTATTTAGCTTGCTTGAAAAGATCGCATAATAGCTTTATTGTTTCTATTTATGATCAATGAAGGTTGGAAATGAAGATGATTAATTTTTATATATTTATTGGTGTTGGTAAATAAAGTTTATGTTTATTAGTTAGGATGTGATTTTAGATGGATTATTAAGTTATGTAATTGTTAATTAAAAAGCTAGAAGCGGAAATTAGTAGTGGATGTGACTATATTAATATTGAGCGTGCAATGTAAGGGTGTTAGTGGTTAATTTTTTTTGATAAGTTGTTTGTTAATAGTGTTATTTGTTAGTAGTGTTATGTGAAGTTAGTGTAATTTTGTGAGAAACGAGAATTTTAATGGACTCTGGAAGTGGAAAATGAAAAATATTGTTTTGTGGATTTTGGACTTTGATATATGCAATAGGGTATTTCGAGTCTAGACGTCTAGATTGGGATATGATTATTATTGGATTTATTGTTTTTGGATTTGTTGTTTTTAATATTGAGCGCTTGGATAGGATGAGATTTATTGAGTGATGAGCGCTTTGATTAATTTAGGATTTTATTGAGCGCGAAATGGATTGGATTTAAATTTATCTGTTTTATTGAGCGCTTATGGATTTGATTAGATTTAATTTATGGAGCGCGAATTTGATTATGATTGATTATTCAATTATGAGCGCTTGGATTAGGATTTGATTTATTGAGCGCTTATGGATTTGGATTATATTTAATTTATTGAGCGCGAATTGGATTTGGATTTATTTGATTTATGAGCTCGGATTGGATTATGATTGATTTATTGAGCGCTTGTAGATTTGAATTTGATAGATTTATGAGCGCGGATTTGATTGTGATTGATTTATGAGCGCTTGTGGATTTGAATTTGATAGATTTATGAGCGCGGATTGGATTATGTTTGATTTATTGAGCGCTGAATGGATTTGATTGATTGAGCGCGGACTGGACTTGATTAATTGAGCGCTGATTGGATTTGATTAATTGGATTTGATTGATTGAGCGCTGAATGAATGTTTAATTGGATTTGATTAATTGAGCGCTGATTGGATTTGATTATTTGAATTTGATTGATTGAGCGCGGATTGGATTTAATTAATTGGATTTGATTGATTGAGCGCGAAATGATTTGATTAAATGGATTTGATTGATTGAGCGCGAAATGATTTGATTAATTGGATTTGATTGATTGAGCGCGGAATGGTTGGATTTGATTGACTGAGGGCTGAATAGTTTTGATTAATTAGATAGAGCGCGAAATGGATTTGATTAATAGAGCGCGAAATGGATTTAGAGCGCGAAATGGATTCAGAGCGCGAAATGGATTTGATTAATTTGATTTGATTGAGCGCTGAACGGATTTGATTAATTGGATTTGATTGAGCGCGAAGGATTTGATTAAATGATTTGATGATTGAGCGCTAATGGATTTGACCAATTCATCTGTGATTAATAAAATATATTTGTTTAAGTAAACTTATCTCATCCAATGGTAAATGTAATTTATATTTAAAATAATTTTTTGTAATTCAGTAGCACAGGTTAATAACTTCCATCCAAAGTTCCAATTTCCATTTAATTAGGGAACATATATGTAAATTATCCAATTCCATTTATTCAAGTTAAGTAAAATTTTTAATTGAAGTAAAAAATTTATTTAAAATTAATATTTTGACATTTAAAAACATATATGAATTAATATATTAGGAGCCCGGCCGGGACTTTCGCGAGAGAATGAAAAAGGAAAAATTATAATTAAAGATTGTTGAAATTATTTATGATTTATTGAGCTCGTATTGATTTGATTTAATTTGTTTAATGAGCGCGAATTGAATTTAATTATTTTATTGACCTCGATATGGATTTTATTGAATTAATGAGCGCGAATTGGATTTGATTTGTTTATTGAACTCGATATGGATGTGATTTGTTTAGTTAATGAGCGCGAATTAAATTTGTTTTATTTATCGGACTCGGTATGATAATGATGTGATTTTATTTAATTAATGAGCGCGAATTGGATTTGATTTTATTGTATTAATGAGCGCGAAATGGATTTGGATTTGATTTTAATGTATTAATGAGCGCGAATTGGATTTGATGTATTTATTGAGCTCGTTGGATTAGGGAGGATTTATGAATAATGAGGGCTCTGATTGGATTGTTTAATTAGGATTTGATTTATTGAGCGCGAATGTATTTGGATTTGTTGATTCATTGAGCGCTAAAGAATTGGATTGGGTTTATTGAGCGCTAGGATTTGGATTTGATTGATTGAGCGTTAAATGGATTTGATGAATTTAATTAAGTCTAAATGGATTTGGATTTAGTTGTTTATTTATGAATGATAAATGATTTGTAGATTAAGTATAATTTGGATGTGTCAGGAATTAACGTGTATTGAATATGCATGGATTTAAATGTAGTACGAACACGGAGTTGGATATAATAATTAATGAACGCGAATTGGTTATTGGTTTGGTTTGGGATAAATGTATTATAAAATCTTTAGAGCGAGGGGAGAAGAAATTTTATAATTAGTGTGCACACTCTGGGGTATTAAAAATAATGTGATTTGGGGACAGAGAAAAAAATAAATGTATTTATATATTAAAAATTATTCTGATTGGTGAATTGGGCAGGGGTAGTGGATCGACTTAGGTGCTACCAGTTAGTATGTTAGTCGTTGGGGTATTGTATATGTGGATAAGGATTCGGGATTCAAGTGGATATGCGAGTGTGGGCTTCCAGAGGTCCTACCCGTTTCTAACCCAATTCACTTAATACTGTTTATATATTTTGTTGATAATTAATTAATAGAGTGAATATTGATAGTGGAATCCAATGGACTAAGTATAAGATAGAATTTATATGATTTAATGTAATTGATAATAATGGAATGGAACTGACATTTGAAATAGGATTTGAAAAGAGGAATAGGATATGGATTGAAGTAAGGATTGGACAGGACTGAGATTAGACTGGACTGAGGTAAAACTGCGACTGACTGAGGATAAGCTGATATTGGACTGAGAATGAGATAAACTGAACTGATTATTGGAGGGAATGAAAACCTTATAAATTGGGAAAAGGGGAGTGAGAAGTGGGATAGGCAATAGTAGACTAGCTGGAATAATTGAGATTGTAAACCTGATAAGTTTGGGAAAGTGGTTGAAACTAAATGGAAATAATAGGAATTAATGTTAGTGGATAATGGGACGTTATTGGGAAAGAGTGAAAATAAAAGGAATTCACATGCATGGATAATGGGAAGAGAATGGGAATAAGCGGAAATGAAAGTGGTTCATGTGAACGAATAAGGAAAAGCTGAGAAAGAATATGTGATTGTAAATAATAACTTAGCAGGATTAAACGGAAGTGCAAAGGCAAAGTCCAAAGAGAGAAAGTTATTAATTTATAAATGGGAAGATAGGAATGGGAATTAGAGCCTGGGATTTGAGTCTGGTATTTAATTGTTTTTGGTTCGGTTCCGGGATACGGGGTTACAAAGTCATTAATGCTCAATACCTGATAATGTTTTGATAAATTTTTTGTTAATTCGCTATGGAGTGTGATTTAAGACAGGGTTTCTTTTGTGAAAATGTTAAGTGACAAAATGGCAAGTCAGTGCATGATAATCAGATAAAGATTTTAATTATGATTCAAAGGAAGTATTTTCTGAGAATGTTTTAAAGTTTCAAAAGATGCGTTTAGATTTGGCTAAATGTGCTTATGAAGCAACTCTTTAGTCGTAATACATAGTTTGGCTGGCGTATGGGGCGTCGAAGGCTTTCCTTATTCAATTATATAAATTAATAAAAATTCTAGATTCTGACATTACCTTTATATGAGTGGCCTGAGGATGTAAATCCCCGTCTTAAATCAGAAGTTTTATTAATTTTACATATAACTTATATTTTTTGTTTTTTTAGTTACAACCTTGTTTTGTAAATAAAGTTAGGGCTATTACTTCAATATATTCTCATTTTTTGGAAATAATTAATAATTTGGTTATCGATGATCAAAATGATTTTCTTGTTGATTTTTATAGCATAAAAAATTGGCTTCCAGGTAATTTTTAGAATTGAAATCTATGAGGTTTTGATTGTATAATCAACTCTAATTTAATCTAAGCGACGGGTCCTCTTATAGACACTTGTAGGCGATTCCATTTCTAAAAGGTCTATTTCTAAAGATAGAAGATCTTTTTATAGTGTGACATTTGCGGATCATTTTAGGGAAAAAAATTAAAATTCAAAAGGGAATAAAGGATTGGGTTTATTTTAATATTTTTTCGATGGGCAACTGTTTACAAACAAATGCATTTAGTTCTTACTATAAACCCTGACCAAAGAAACGTCGGCTACGGATAAAATGTCCAGATTCCTTTTAACCTATCCAAATTTCATTAATTACCTTGATCCTTTTAAATTATTGATTTCCCTTAAAATCACTAGATATTCCTCCAAATTTCTTAATATCTCTTTATCTTTAATGTGAATCATTATTTTTTTATATTCTATGCTTATAAGATTTTGATTTTTTGTCTTGATTTTTTTGATTTTTGCATGCTTAAAAACAATAATATTTTCAGATAAACGGGATGTGGCAGAACAACATTATTTATTTATATCAAATAATATCCCTCAGAAAGATCGTCGAGTATTTGAGTTTATAATGAATGAGGCAATGAATGAAGAAGCAATGAATGAAGAAGCATGAATTTGTAAAATAAATATTTTTAAGGAAGAATTTCAAAAATTAAAACTTTTTAATCGGCATTTATTTTTATCTTTAATTAATTCTCATCTTTTATATATAATTTGGTAAAATTGAAGTTACCCCTTTCTTTTTCTTGTCTCAGAGTGGGGAAGACTTGAGCGATAATTCCACAAAAAGGTATGAAGTAAGATTTGTTTTGTTGTTTGCCCACGAAAGGAAATATTGGATAAATTAACTTTAAATGGGTGGGAATCTTACTTTTTCTAAAAATTTGGCGCTTTTCTCATTTCCTACATTTTTACGTTAAATTTAAAACTAATTCTTTATTGTCTAATTAGCTATGAAACGAACTTCAATTTTACCTATAATTTCGATCAGCGTTAATCTATTTTTCTAAAATTAAACAATTTAAATTCCATATTTATTTTAAACATTAAAAAAATATAATTTTGGTTAGTCTAGATATTTTAACAAAAAAAAGTGAAAACTTTTGTCTTGTGAAATGACCAATAACCAGTTGCAGCCATTTAATTTTTGATTTAAAAAGGGGATTTGAATGGATATAGCGCGAACATAAATTTACTTTATTTTATTGATTTTAATGAAGATTTTTATCTAAATCGAGAAGTTTAGTGCGTTGTTTTAATTACATATTTAATTAAACAACCTTTATATTTTAATGTTAAGTTTTCAATTTATTTCTTGTTGAGTTTAAGTTTCATTTTTTTGCTTGCAACTTGGAAAAGTTTATTAAATCCAAGTTTGTTTTTAACTAAGTTTGTTTTTAACCAAGTTTATTATTAAGTTCATTTTTAAGTCTAAGTTTATTCTTAGTTCAATCTTAAGTTTATTTTTAAATCTATGTTGTAGCTTAAGTTCATTCTTAAGTTTGTCCTCAAGTTTATTTTTAAGTTTATTTATTAGGTAGTTTATTTAATCCAAGTTTATTTTTAACTAAGTTTGTTTTTAAGTTTGCTACTTATTAAGTTTATTTTATGTTCATTTTTAAGTCTAGTTGTAGTCTTAAGTTCATGCTTAAGTTTATCCTCAAGTTCATTCTAAGTTTATTTATTACGTTAGGTTTATTTTTAAGTTCAGTCTTAAGTTTATTTTTAACTACGTTTATTTTTAAGTTTATTTTTAAAATTAAGTTGTAACTTAAGTTCATTCTTAAGTTTATTCTCAAGTTTATTTTTAAGTTTATTTATTAGGTAGGTTTATTTTTAAGTTCAATCTTAAGTTTATTTTTAACTAAGCTTATTCTCAAGTTTATTCTTAATACAACTACCAAGTTTATTTATTATTATTTTTATACTACCAAGTTTATTAATTAGGTAATTCTGATTTAAATTAAATACAATTCTGATACAACAAAAAATAAATGTTAATACAACCAAACCCTCGTTGTTGTCCTGGCAGTATATTTTCCCTATTTTCTTCCCCCATCTATTATCAACCTCTTTTTAACGACCATCCTTCTACTTCTACCACTTCACCTTCCGGAATTTTTCGTTTTTCAAATGTTCTGGTTTTGAGAAAAACAGCTTTGTGGGGAATTGCTTTGATTTTTCGTTTAACTATTGTAATGAGATTATTTTTCTGATTTTTAATTTAAAAAAATATTTTTTCGGTCATTTCTGGAATTATTTTCGGATTTGCTCTTTATCATCGTACTACAAATCTGTGGGCATTAAAAAATCTTGGTGACACATTTATGTCTAAAAATATTGGAAGAAGGCCTATTGTTCTAGGGGCATTCCACAGACTTAAAGAAGAACAGAATGTGGAAGGGGATTATGCGGTATGGTTTATTCTGATTTAATTGTAATAAAACTCTGATTTTACTAAAATTCAGATTTTCAAGTTTTTGACCAAGTTTATTCTTAAAAATTCTGATTTAAATTTAAATTCTGATTTCAAGTTTATTTTTCTATGTTGCTAGGTTTATTTTTAAATATTCTGATACAAGTTTAATTAAAGTTCTGATTCAAGTTTATTTAGTTTTATTTTACAAATTCTGATTTTAAGTTTACAAATTCTGATTTTAAGTTTACAAATTCTGATTTTAAGTTTACAAATTCTGATTTTAAATTCAAATTCTGATTTTAATTCAAATTCTTGATTCAAGTTTATTTAGTTTTATTTTACAAATTCTGATTTTAAATTCAAATTCTGATTTTAATTCAATTTCTGATTTTAAGTTTACAAATTCTGATTTTAAGTTTATTTACTTATAATTCTCCTTTCAAGTTTATTTTTTATTTATTTGTCGTTATAAATTCTGATACTAAGTTTAATTAATTTCTAATTTCAAGTTTTTTTTTTCGTCTTAGAAATTCTGATTTTTTAAAGTTTATTTAATTTTCGTCTTCCAAGTTTATTTTTCCATATTTAAGTTTATTTTCATATATTCTGCTTTGAATTTAATTAAAATTCTGATCTTAAGTCTATTATTCTGAAATTTCTACCCTTTTACAGGTAATCCAATTCCTTGGGGATGGACGTCAAACGCACACCCTATTTTGTATTAGTGAAAATAACAACGGGGAAAAGTTAATAACCAGAGCGCATATAGAACGTATCCACAAGGGGAAACGTGCAGCTAACGACTTGTGTTCGTGGAGCGGTCATTTAGCGGAGTGTAAAATTGGATCAGCAGATGTAAATTCAATAAGGCGAGACTTAGGAAATATTTTTAAAAATTTGAAAAAAATTTTTTAGAGTAACAACAAACGGAAATTTATTATCCACCACTGACTTGGCAAATTTAAAAGAACGCTCAATTTCCGTTCAGTTAGAAGAACCCCTTTATTTTAATGGGGGAAGGAAATATCCGCTAGTTGTTTGTATTGCGCCTATGTATACGGTGATAAATAAAGAGATAATTTAAAGGGATTTTATTAAATTTTTGAAGGAGTTTAATTTTGAAAATTGACTATAATTATAATCCCATCGGTTATAAATCCAAAATTTTAAGACAAAAATTTTTTAGTAGGGCGAGTGATGGGAAGGGGTAAAGCTTAGTCTCGGGCAGACTAGCAGTTTTTGCTAGTAGCTTTCGCTCACCACGTACAGGTGTTTTACAGACTGAGTTATCGGAGTGCTACGGGTCTTCACATTTAATAAATCTTAAAGCCTGCCTAGTTTGCGTTTTACATCCGAAAGTAGAAATTACTTTTCCTCGCAATGTGGGGTTATAACGAGAATGGGGTTAAATTCATCTAAATTTTAAATAAAAAATAATTTTAACCAAAAATTCCTTTTATAGTATACAGACTGGCAAATAATGCTGATGGGTATAGAATCATGGATAGCTTTGGGAGCACAAAAAATTGTTTAAAATTTTTTAAAAATTATTTAAATTTATTTTTGAAGATATTCCCAATACAATCAGCCTCTGCTGATACAGTTTTAATTTTAAAAGAGTATGAACGCATTGGTAAATTTTTGGGGAAGATTTTTAAATAAACAATTAATTTTTGAAGGTATTGTTCACTTAAGAAAATGGCCTAAATGTAATTTTAAAAAATTTTTAATTCAAAAAAATAAAGAAATTAAAGGGCCTTTACTTTCCGATGTAAATCCGAATGGGTTAGTGTTGTCTAGAGGCATTGAAGAATCCCATGTTAATTGTTTACATTTTGTCAAACCGTTTGCTGAGATGGTTGTTTTTACGGATATTGATGATATGTAAATTTTAATACTTTTAATTAGGGTTGCGCCCCGAGCCTTCGGGGTCGAAAAAGTCGGGGGTCGGGGTTTTCGGGGTTGACAAAGTCGGGGTCGGGGTCGGGGTTGCTCAAATCGTTCGGGGTCGGGGTCGGGGCTGAAAATAATGTCGGGGTTCGGGGTCGGGGTCGGGGTTGAAGTGAAAATTTACAAAATCCTGCATTTTTATCCAACATTACTGTTCAAAATCAACATTTTTTTAAAGAATTAACTTAATCTTCATTATCATTATCTTCGCTTTCTGAATCTGATTCGTTATTATTTGAAGGCGCAAGAAGTACTTTATCCAAGTTAGCTTTTACTACGAGTATTTGCCTGACAGTTTTTCCTGACAATCTAAAATTATTATTTTTTTAATCACAAATAAATAAAACCTATTCCTGAGAGTATTAGCATATATAAGTCCCGCTTTCGAGAAAAGCCTCTCAGAACAAATGGAAGTTGCGGGAATACAATGCAACATTTGAGCAATTTTAGCCATTTCTGGAATGAACTTCCCATTATTTCTCCACCATGAAAATAAATCACAATCAACTGGAACACGCTGCCAGGCTTTATATTGTGACAATTGCGATTCAATCTTTGACACAAAATCTGCTGACTCCTCACCAGAAATTGTTGTATTTGGCAATGTAGAAGTACAAGGCGATTTAGGTTTTGCCCAAATATCATCTAAATTTTAGTGAGTTTATTTTTAATGTCAAAAATACATTTCTCATCGCTGCTTGTACTTAAATGATCACTTGATTCAGCTTCTTCAGATAAAATTTCCTCTTCTAGGTCAACTGGCACTGGCTCCAAGTTTGCGGACAAGAAGCTATTAATTTTTTGTTTTTTAACATTAAATTTTCTTGAGTTTTTGTAAGTATTTTTGATCCTTTTGTTGTTCTAAAAAAGGTGACCCATGATCGAATTTTTGCAATAAACATTTTTAATTCTTTTGTCTCTAGCAAATCATTCATAGTCAAATGAAGCATATGGCAAACACATTGAAAACTAATTTAAATTTTTTAATTATAAAAATTAAAAACCTGTTTAGTTCCAATAAATTACATGATCTGATCATATTTCGAGCTGCATCTCTTACTAAGCAAACAACATTTTCCTTATTTAATCCATTATCCTTTAATGATTTTTCAATAGAAGCACAAATATCCTCTCCCGTATGACTATCCATAGGCACAACATCGAACACGAAATCGTCTCGTTCGAATGATGAATTTAAGTGATGCACTGTTATACTAAACGTGTTTTATTTTTATGAAAATTAAACTAATAAAACCTGAGAAGTGCTGGTGACTTTGTTACCTGTGACCAGCCATCAGATGTCAAAGCATATTTATCGTTTCCTATTCGTTGAGTAATTTTACGCCTAATTTCTTCCGCCATTGAAGAAATAACAGTTCTTTTAAAATAATCTCTTCGTCGTAACTAAAAATATGTTAATGATTGTTATAAAAATTAAACAACTGTTAAATTCGGATATGCACGTTGAAAAAGATCCCTCAACTCAGGTGCTTCTACAAATAAAAAAGAGCAATTTTGGCGAAGCATAAGTGCCGCAATTTGTTCATCTGCTTTTTTTTGAGGCTCATCCTTACCAAGAAATTTTGATATATCCAGATTAGTCTGTTAATAAAAAAATCTTTTATTTTATTAGTTTGCTCTTACTGATGTTGATGTATTCTTTTGCAAAAACTTCTCATATTCTGCCAAATGCATAGACTTAAGATGGTCCCATAAACCTTTAGTCGAACTTTTTTTACAAGAAAATTTATTTTCACAAAGCTTGCACCTAGCTGATTCATCAGCCATGGGTAGTTTTACAAAAAAATTCCAAATATCAGAAGATTTAGTCGACATTTTAATATAATTTCTAATTAAATCTAAAGACCTATATAAAATTACAAATTCAAAATAAGTTGTGTCTAACCAAACTATCAATAGAAAATGTCAGTTTAAATTTTGTCAGGAAAATATTCTCTGTGAATAGAGAAAAATAAAAATAGTTTTCTTTTCCTTTTTTGTTAGTTGTCTTTTCCTTTCTTTTGTTTTATCAAAATTTTGACAGAATGCCAACAAAAAAAATATATAAAAGTTAATTAATGCAGTTTGAGTCGGGGTCATAAAAATTTTTCGGGGTTCGGGGTCGTCGGGGTCGAACTTTCGGGGGTCGGGGTTTTCGGGGTTGGGAATGTCGGGGTCGGGGTCGGGGTTTTATGTCAAAAAATGTCGGGGTTCGGGGTCGGGGTCGGGGTTAGTCGGGGTCGGGGCGCAACCCTACTTTTAATATTATTTTTAAAATAAAATTAAAGTTTGTAAACTTAAGTTTGTGAGAGAATTAAATAAACTTGGAATTGTAAAACTTAATAAAAAATAATAAAAGAACTACAAATTGTAAATTATAATTGTAAAACTTGAATTAATTAAAGCTTGAACTTAAAACTTGAACAAACATAAATAAACTTGAGATTGTAAAACTTGATAAAAATTAAACTTGGAATTGCAAACTTAAAACTTGGTTTAAAAAATAAACGTGGAATTGTACTTTGATTTATTAAAAATAAAATTATTTTTACAATTTGTAACTTAACTTCTAAAAAATCAATTTTTTAAAATTAAAAAAAATTAATAATTAAAGGTTAATGCCATTGGATCCTATGAGAATTCATTCTGGAGTAAATATAGAAATATTGAGGGTAAAAATCATATTGTTAGTCGAAGATTTTTTTTAATTTTTAGAGCTTATTTCGTGAACATCCAAATGCTGGCTCTCTTCTTTTTGAACATAGGGATGTTCAGGCAAATTTAAAAAATTTTTAAATAAAATTTAAAAAATTTCTTCTAGTTTGTTCCACCAGAAACGGCTCCGGGAGAGCTATACCAATCATTAGCAGATTTTAATTTTTCATTTCTCCATCAAACTCGTTGGAAAACTAAATGTAAAATTTGGAGAATGAAAACGAGAGTTGTCGTTAATGCAAGTAAAAAATAAAAATTAATAAATAATAAAGTAAAATTGTAAACTTAAAACTTGGATTAAAAGGGAAATAAACTTGAACTTGCAAGAGAATTGTAAAACTTGTTTTATGAAAAATAAACTTGAATTGTAATTAAAAATAAACTTGTTTTGAAAAATAAACTTGGAATTGTAGTTTGAAAAAAATAAACTTGGAATAAATTTGTAAACTTGAATTTCAAAATAAATAAACTTGAAATTCAAGTTTACAATTACAATCTTAAAATTCCAAGTTTATTTATTTTCTTCAATTTTTTATGAAAATAAACTTGAAAAATAACTAATTGTAATTTATAATTGTAAACTTAAAACTTGAATTAATTTAAATAAAATTGGAAGTGTAAACTTGATTTATGAAAAATAAACTTATTTTTATAATTCATACTTAAGTTGTTAAATCTGATTTTAGGTCGTGTTGATAGTGTAAATATGCATGAGACGGGAATTCATCGTTTTGGTTATTCGCAGGTGGAAAATCATAATTTAAAAAATTAAAAAATCGTCCCCAAAATTTAAAGGTTCGGGTGCCTTGTCGTCGTGCCCATTTTTACCATTTACGCCACTCTTTCAAAAATATTGCTTTAAATGAATGGCCAATTAAACTAGATTTATTACAATACAAACTAGAACAACAATGGCAATTAAGATTAAATTTTAATTTTACAAAAATTGCTACAGAAACAAAATTAACACGTTCGTCAGTTGAAAGTTTTGCTGATTTTGATAATTGCATGATTGCAATTAATGAAGAACATTGGTCTTTAAGAGTTTCTCGTTGTTTGACACCCCATGTTTGTTATTCTAGGATGGCGAGGTAAAGGGAGAGATTTTTTGTTTAAACTTTTACAAATTGATATTTTCAACTTTTACAATTTGTAAAATTTAAGTTTTATTATTTCTAAGTTTGCGATTTTAATTAAGTTTAATTTACAATTTGTATTTTTTGAAAATTACAAATTCAAGTTTTTGCTATTTTTAAGTTTTATATAATTTAAGTTTGCAAACTTGGTTATTTTCAAGTTTTACATAACTTAAGTTTGCAAACATAAAGGTTAATTATTTTCAAGTTTGCATAATTTAAGTTTACCAACTTAAGATTAAGTTATTTTCAAGTTTTAAAAGTTCTAAGTTTGCAAACTTAGTTATTTTCAAGTTTTACAAGTTTTAAGTTTACGAAAATTAAAGTTTATTAATTTTTACGCTTGCATATTCTAAGTTTGCAGACTTAAAGTTTATAAACTTTATTTTAAGTTCTACCAACTTAAGGTTTATTTATTTTCAAGTTTTACAAAATTTAAGTTCACAAACTTAAGTGTCTTACATTTTAAATTTTTACAATTTGTATTTTTATTTAAAATTTAAAAAGGAATATGAGTTGTGTAGCTGCAATTGCTGATTATAAATTTGCCTATTCTGGTAACGGTGATTATGTCTCTGCTTTAAATGGGGAGGCCGAGCTTGGGCCAAGTGAATTAAATTGTATGTTTAAATTTTAAGAATAAATTAATAATAAAATTAATTATTCAAAGGTGAGGCTCCTCTTCCCAAATTTTCTTATGGTAATCATTATTACCTTCCATGAGATCAGAAAATATTTTTTATTTTAAAATTTTTTATCGTTTTTTATTTTACAATTCCTTGTTTATAATTGTTTATTTAAATAAAAAAATTATTAAATAGTTTTTATGATACCAACTTTCTAACTTTTCTATTTTTCAATTTTAGTCATATAAATATAAGCAAGTTGTAATTCTTACTAAATAACAATTTTATTTACTATAAGCCTAGTTTACAATTTTAAGTTATAGTTAATTCAACTTTATTTTATTCAAGTTTATTTAATTCAAGTTTTTCAAGTTTAAACTTAATTCAAGTTTAATTCAAGTTTTTCAAGTTTAAACTTAATTCAAGTTTATTTAATTCAAGTTTTTCAAGTTTAAACTTAATTCAAGTTTATTTAATCCACCCTTAATTCAAGTTTACAATTGTAATTTACAATTATCTGGTTACTTTTGTATTTAAAGTTTATTTTAAATTCCAAGTTTATTTTAAATTCCAAGTTTATTTTATTCTCTTAATTTTAAGTTTTTCTCTTAAGTTCCAAGTTTGTAATTTTATTTAAAGTTTATATACATTTATTCACAATTTTACAATTTAATTATATTCGTATTTATTTATTTACAAATTGCACTTTTATAATTGTAAAGTATGCGCCCACGGATCGCATTCATATCTCCCTTCATTTTCTTCTTCAAATATAGGTTGAAAAATGTTGTTGCCCTCACTTCTATTATTCTCTTGTAGTGTAAGCTTCATTCTACAAGTATCTCCACTTAAATAATTTTGTTGTTTCAATTGTTGATTTTGTAAATGGATTAAATGTATTGTACTAAACCGGTACATAACTTGAATCCAAAATATAGGAAGTCCCAAAAAGCAAACAATAATTAATAGGGCTGTTGCAGTTTGTGCCAAACGGACGGCAAACACCTCATCTCTTCCTTCTAGTCGAAAATTTTTTTGTTTTTCAATTGAAGAGGAAGAATTGAAAGGATAAATTGTTGTTTTTACTGAACGCATTCATATATTTAATTTTGACTGATTTTTACTATTTTTCAAATGCCTTTTTTAAAAATTTTTTTAGAGTCGGATTACTCACACAATCAATCACTAAAATCCCCCCTTTTTTACGCAGTCGTCAAATTACCCGGCTGTTTTTTCCTATCGAATTAGAGCAAAGTAAAATTAAAATGTTTCTTTTAGTTGTAAAAAAATATAAAATTTGTTTTTGGTGTGTGGCCTTGACATAAAAATAGATTTTTGTTTATAGCGGCAAGTCAGACGATTTAAACTATCAGAGATTAAAATTGTAAAATGGATGGATAAATTGTAATAATATAAATTGTAATTAATAAAATTAAAAAAGGTTTATTAAATTCAAGTTTTAAGAGTATAAGAAGCAAGTTTGTAATTAAAGTTTATTTTTATTTAATTTTACAAACTTAAGTTTATTAAAATAATTCAAGTTTATTTATAGACTTTAGAATTGAGGGTTGTATATAAACTTGAATTTAAAATAAACTTGAATTTAAAACAAAATTGAATTTAAAATAAACTTGAATTTAAAATAAAACTTGAATTTAAAATAAACTTGAATTAGAGGAAGTAGCAGGTTTGTAAAAAATGTTTATTAATTTTACAAACTTGTTTTTCAATTGTTTGAAATAAATAAGTTTATTAAGTTTAAGTTTATTTTCAATTTTTTAATCCAAGTTTATTATTAAAGACTAAAAACAAACTTTAATTTAGAACAAACTTAATCAAGTTTGTATTTCAAGTTTATTTTTGAATTACAATTATATAATAAATAAATTGTATAATTCAAGCCTATTTTCAGTCTTAAGTGCAGAAGAAAAAGCAAGTTTGTAATTCAAGTTTATTTTTATTTAATTTTGCATTTAAATTTTAAAATAAGGCTTATTACTTTTTTTAATGCTTATAAAGTTTTTTAAGTTCAAGTTTGCATTTTTATCTTAACACCAATTAAATTTTTATTAATTTTTATTTTAAAAATTGGTAAAATTATTTTATATTTAAAAATCGAAAGTTTTGGCGCCTAAGGGGGGAGGAATTAGTGTTTGAGAAGTGCCTACTTTGGTAGGCATTTATTATTGCACATACATTTTCATTTTTTATTATTTTTTGTTTAAGCCGAATTCCAATAAGTCCTAAAAATATTATTATTATTAATATTTTTGAAAAGGAGGAACATTTATTTTTAAATTTTACTCAAGAGGATGTGCTAAATGTATTAATAAAAAACTAAAAGCAAAAAAATGTTGTAGAAGATTCAATTTAAAAACACATGTTTCCAATTTTGATTTTATTTTTCCAATATTTAAATCTCTTAATTGCTTCAATTGTAAAGTTCCAACCTTTCCAAAATGAAGCAAAACATTTGTTTGGATTTGACGAACCAGGTCACAAACATTGCATGGTTTTTCGATTCCAAGTGCGTATACTTGATATGAATTTATTTCATGAAAATAAAATTGAGGAAGAGGCAAGTTTGTAATTAAAATCTATTTTTATTAATTTTGCAAACTTAAGTTTGTGGATTTTGTTAATGAGAGCGTTAAACTTTTCGGTATTTGTTCTGAACGTAATGCAGTAGAAAAGGATTCACAGGTAGATTTAAATTCTGATTTTTACAATTTGTAATTTCAAATAATTCTGATTTTACAATTTGTAAATTTCAATAATTCTGATTTTACAATTTGTAATTTCAAGTAATTCTGGTTTTTACAATTTGTAATTTTTAATAATTCTGATTTTACAATTTGTAATTTTTATTAATTCTGGTTTTTACAATTTGTAATTTTCATTAATTCTGGTTTTTACAATTTGTAATTTCTAATAATTATGATTTTTACAATTTGCAATTTTTTAATAATTCTGATTTTTACAATTTGTAATTTTAATTTATGATTTTTACAATTTAAGTTTCAAGCAAGTTGGCGCAAAGGGATACAACGTAAAACCCTCAAGTTTATTTTTCGCGAAAAAGCACTTCCACTCTTTTCACGCTCCAACACCGTTTCATCTTCTGCCGCCTCCAGAACGCTTTATTCCCTCCACGAATTAAGATGGGAATTGAGTATGGTAGAATATAAAATTCGTTGGAATGGGTCTTCTAGAAACAATAGTACCTTATTTACTAGTGGGAAGAATACTTCTTCAATTAATGTCCCTTTAAATCAGAAATTTGTTTGTAGAGACGGTAGAATATTTTTAAAATAAAAATATTTTTATTCTAAGCAATTAATATAACTTTACATAAGCGTCGTCGTAAAAATGTTATTGTGCAATTGCTTCCATTGGCAGGACAGCTAGAATTACAACCTGTTGCTACCGCAACCTTTGGTCTAGGAAATAATGGTAAAATAACCAGAAATTATTCTGATTTTTACAATTTGTAATTTCAAATAATTCTGATTTTACAATTTGTATTTTCAATAATTCTGATTTTTACAATTTGTAATTTTCATTAATTCTGATTTTTACAATTTGTAATTTTCATTAATTCTGATTTTTACAATTTGTAATTTTCAGTAATTCTGATTTTACAATTTGTAATTTTCATTAATTCTGATTTGTATTTCTCAATTTCAAGTTTATTTCAAGTTTTTAAGTTTGTGGTCTTAAGTTTATTTAATTCTTATTTTCTCAACATTTTTTAAAGTTTAATTTATTTAAGCTCAAGCTTGAAACTTATTTTTATAATTTTAGTTTTCATTTGTGAGAGAACAAGAAAGAGGTCCTTACGAGAAAGCTTCCATAATCGAATGACTATTTTGTAAAAATAATTTTTTTAGATATTTTATTTAAATATTATATTTTATAGTTCCGGAGTTCTTTTGGGTATTGGTTCTCTTGGAACAATAATTGGCTATAGTGTTTGGAAAGGTCACCAACAAATGAAAAGACCGTCAATATTATTTTAAAAAATTTAATTTTTTTAATTTTAAAATTTTATTTTTTTATTTAATAAAAATTAAAAATAAATTTAAAATATTTTTCACTTTCCCCTTATTTTATTTTCCAATTTTTTTAAATAAAAGAAAATTCCTGTGCTATTGCAAAGTCTTATTGTTTGAGGGATTATTTTAAAAGAAAAGCTTCTTCTTTTTCAATAAAAGTCTATATAACTAATTCTTATTGACTAGTTTTTTTTATTTTAGCCTTATTTGTTTATGTAAGCATTGAAGAAAACTTTTTAATAAATTTAAAATTCAAGTTTATTTTTTATTTCAAGTTTATTATGCTTAAGTTTGAAAGCTTAAATTAATTGTAATTTTAAGTTTGCGATAAATTGAAACTTGATAAAATAAACTTGAAAATAAAATAAACTTGAAAGTAAAATAAACTTAAAAATGTAAACTTAAAAATAGTTCTAAAACTTGAGATAAATTAATTTCAAGTTTTAAGTTTGTAAACTTCAAGTTTTATTTCGTCAAGTTGCAGAAATAATTACAAACTTAAAAAATAAAACTTGAATAAAATAAACTTAAAAATAGTTGTAAAACTTGAGATTAATTATATTTATTCCAAGTTTTAAGTTTGTAAACTTGAATTTTATTTTTCAAGTTTTATTTCGTCAAGTTGCAGAAATAATTACAAACTTAAAAAATAAAACTTGAATAAAATAAACTTAAAAATAGTTGTAAAACTTGAAATTAATTATATTTATTCCAAGTTTTAAGTTTGTAAACTTGAATTTTATTTTTCAAGTTTTATTTCGCCAAGTTGCAGAAATAATTGTAAATTGAAAAAATAATTACAAATGCTCATTTTAACAACTTTAATTCCTCTTATATTTATTCCACAATTTACCAGCACTAAAATAAGTAGAAAAAATTATGAAGCACAATTATACGAAGTTTGCCCTATTTGAAAATTAAATAAAATTAATTTTTAAAATTTTTACAAGGATTTACTTTTTGATTACAACAGAATTTCTAGACCTGTTAAAAATAGTTGAGTATTTTTTAAATATTTTTAAGATAAATTCGAAAATAATTTAAGGCACAGATGTGCTTCATATTGATGTTGGAGCTTCTTTAATAAGGCAAAAATTAAAAAATAAATTTTTAATAAAAAATATATTTTAGAATCATCGATGTTGTTAGTTTTGTCTAGATAATTAATTTATTTAAGAAAATTAAAATATTTTTAGGATGAAAAGAATCAAGTATTGACAACTAATTTATGGTTAGAAATGGTTGGGAAATTTATATTAAAAATTAATTATTTTTTTCAATTTTGGAGAGGTGGAGTGATGCGCGTCTCCAATGGGATCCAAATAAATATGGGGGTATTTTTATTAAATACATATTTTTTAAATAAATTTTAAAATAGTTATAATTTTATCAAAAACTTAAGATCCCAAACTTGTTATTTAAAAATTGTAATCTAAAAATATTCTTTTACAATTACAACTTTAAAATTACTAGTAAATAAAATTTATTAAAACTTGGAATTTCAAGTTTAATGGGTTGTCAGATAAATAATGAGCCCTTTGCGCATAAATTAAACAATTTACTACATATAACTAAATAATGAAATGAAATTAAGAAACAATATAATGCCCATTATTATCTCTCACATCTTGCCACTTGCTGGGCGGTTTTTTTGATTCCCCTTTGATAAAATATAGTGGCAGATTTGGTTTCAAGAAGTTCGACAACCCAATTTTGGAGTTGTGCATCATTTTGGAACCTCACATCTCGGAAATGATTTTTTATCAAACGGAATAAGTGGGAATCAGACGGCGCAATATCCGTAGAATAAGGCGGATCAAATAAAAGTTACCATCCGAGTGTCTCCGTAATGTGGGATCGAGTTGCGTTCGCGCGAACCGGGGTTGCATTTTCCTGCTGAAAGACAACTTGACCATAATGAGCCGCACGAGCAGTGAAACCATCACAGGCAATCTGAACTCTGTCCAATATTGCCCTGTAGAGTTCGCCCGTCAATCCTTTGCCCTTAGGAGTTAATTCCCAGTGTATAATCCCAAATTTGGGATAAATTTGAGGTTTTTGGCTTCTAGGCCCATATCTCGATGACGGAATTTTTTGTAACATCGCTTAATTATTGCAAAAGATGCCCAACTTGTGCCCTTCAAGGCGGCATTTTGATTTTTGGCTTGAGTTGTACCTAGACCGCGTTTGAAGCAATACAAAACAACAGCCCGAATTTCAAATTTTGAGGACATAATTTTAAAAAATTTTTAAAAACTGCAAAAATCAAATAGTTTTATATAGTAGAGAAAAGCGTGAACTATCGACTCAAGTAAATTTAAAATGCTTTTAACCAAAATTCGAATACCTATACATAAAAAAGGACTAAAATTGTGAAAAGGGCTCATTATTTATCTGACAACCCATTATTTAAGATTACAAATTCCAAGTTTAATTAAGTTTGTAAAAATTCAGGCTTATTTTTTAGTTTACAATTGTAATTTTAAATTTATAAAAATAAAAATTAAAGTTCATTTTAAAAACTTAACTAAAATTAATTTAATTAAAATTATTTTTAACCTAAAGGTATTCGTCAGTTACACATCCCTAGCACTGATATATGGATACCCGATTTTGTGTTGTATGACAATGCGGCAGGCGATCCGGACATAACGTATAAATTCAAAATTTTTTACCAACCCTAAACAATTTCAAAAATTTAGAATTTTTACTGATGCCCTAATTTCGTATAATGGACGTGTTTATTGGCAGCCCCCAGCAATTTACAAATCTTTTTGTCCAGTTAAATTTAATAAAATATTTTAAAAATTTTTTTAAGATAAAAGTAAAATGGTTTCCTTATGACAAACAAGATTGTAGAATGAAATTTGGTGCTTGGTCATATACCGGAAATTATGTTGATTTACATTTAATACAACAAGAAAATGCTGAAAATATTAATAATAAAATTAATTTAAATAAAAAAAGAGAGGAAGACGATGATATTGAATATAATGAAATGGGGATGGATTTGAGCTTTTTTTATAAGTATTATTTTTAAAGATTACAAGTTTACAATTAAAAATTAAAAAGTTCACAATTACAACTTTAAAATTATTAAAACTTGAAAGTTCAAGTTTACAAATTCAAGTTTAAACTTAATAAGTTCAAGTTTATTTTTAATTTTACAATTCTAAGTTCAGGTTTATTGTAAAACTTAAATAAACTTAAACTTAGATTCAAGTTTGTTGTAAAACTTAAGTTTATTTAAAAAAAATTAAAACTTGAAAGTTCAAGTTTACAATTCAAGTTTATTTAAGTTTTACAATTTCAAGTTTGAACTTAATTATTACTAACTTGAAAATTCAAACTTAAGTTTTACGAATTCAGGTTTAAGTAGAAATTCAAGTTTATTTATGATTTTTTAAAGTTCAAGTTTATTTAAGTTTTACAATTTCAAGTTTAAACTTATACTTAATTATTACAAACTCAAGTTTATTTTTTCAAGTTTATTCAAGTTTATTTTTTTAAGTTTCCGTTTTAATCCCAAATTAATTTTTCCTACAGTTGCAACTTTAAGATTACAAAAATTATACTTCAATTTACATTATATTTCCCAAATTAATTTATAATTTTTAAATATTTTCAGATCAGCAGAATGGGATTTAATGAATTTAACGTCTGCAAGACATGCAGTACTTTACACAAGTTGTTGTGGCCCAGAGACGTAAAATTAAAATTTTAATTTAAAAAAAAATAAAATTTTTCTTAGTTATGTTGACATAACTTATTATTTAGAATTGAGGCGGAAAACGTAAAATCAAAATTTAAATTAAAAAAAATCCTTCATTAATTATGCAGTCTTTTCTTCACTTGTAATTTAATTGTTCCTTGTTTTTTAATTTCTTTTTTGACAACATTTGTGTTCTACCTTCCGGATCATAAAATAACATTTTCAATTTCTATACTTGTTACACTTACAGTTTTCTTTTTGGTTTTGATTGATTTAATGCCTCCAACAAGTTTGGAAGTACCCATGTTTGGACAATATTTAATTACAACTATGGTGAATATTTTTATTTTTAATATTTTCCGGAATTATTCTTGTATTATTTATAAACTTATTTAATTACAAACTTAAGTTTTCAAGTTTATTTACGATTTTACAATTTGTAAAAAGTAATTAAACTTATTTTACAATTCCGGAAACTTTGATTTTCTTTTGTATTTCTCTCTATTATTGTATTTTTCCGGAAAAGTTTATATATTATTAAAATTAATTCCGGAAGCGTTTGTATTTCTCTTTGTATTTTTCTTTTCTATTCTTGAATTTTTCCGGAAACATTTAATTAAAATTAATTCCGGAAAAGTTTGTATTTTTCCGGAAACACTTGTATTTTCCGGAAACACTTGTATTTTCCTAAAACAAATTTTCATCCCACTAGTATTTTTCCGGAAACATTCATATTATTAATATAAATTCCGGGAACGCTTGTATTTTCCGGAAAATTTTGTATTTTATACAACCATTTATAGTAAATTTTTTTTAGATTTTGGTTGCCCTCTCAACACTTTTTTCTGTGGTAATATTTATTTATAAAATTCCCTTCATTTTACTAAAAATTAAATTTAATTATTATAGGCTTCAGTAAATATTCGTTTCCGGAATGGTTCTACTCATCAAATGTCCCCGTGGATTCGAATTGTGTTTTTGGGTGTTTTACCAAAGTAATTTACAATATTCCGGAAAGATTTTGTATTTCCCGGAATTTTTATTAAATTATTTGTAAATTCCGGAAAATTGTATTTTCGCTAAATTTTTTCCGGAAAAATTTGTATTTCTTTTTAATTTCGGAAAATACTTATTTTCTCCGGAAAGAAGTGTATTTTTCCGAAAAAGTTGTATTTTCATTATATTTTTAATATTCTCAGAATTTTGTTAATGAAACGCCCCGAGCGTCAACAACTCGAAACAAACACAAATTCATTAAACAATTTTATGGTGGAGACAAGACAAGGACTTGAACCTTCATCATCTTCCTCTTCCTTTAATTTTGAATATTCTAATAAAAAGGCAACCATTTCCTCCCCTTCAAATTTATTTAATAATCGCTCAAAACTCCCACAAACTTCAATTGTTAACAAAAATAAAAAAGAAAAATATGACAAACCGCCCCCATATTTTTCTATTACAACAACAAATACTCATAAAAATTCTGATAAAAATAATAATTCAAAAGAAAAAAATTTTTTGGAAGAAAATATTTATGCAGAACCTTCTACAAGTAGAGAAATACAGCAACAATTTTGTAGCAATAAAAGTCAAAAATTGAAGAAGATTGAATATACATGGAATGAACAGCGAGTTTTGTATAATCTGGCTAGACAAGTAGGGAATTTTTGTCTTTTTTCAGCTGCATGTATTTAAATATTTTCCGGAAAATACAAGAATAATTGTAAATTAAAAATATTTCCGGAAAAGGAATAAAATATTTTAATTAAATTTTCCGGAAAACACAAAAAAATAATATTGCACGTATTTCAGGAAAAACACAAACTTTAATTAAACATTTCCGGAAAATACATTAAACGTTCCGGAAAATACAAAAACAATTAAATTACAACTTCCGGAAAACACAAAAAATAATAATTATATTGCACAAATTTCCGGAAAAAACACAAAATTTTAATTAAACGTTCCGGAAAAATACAAAACTTTGATTAAACATTTCCGGAAAAATACATTACTTTAATTAAACATTTCAGGAAAAACACAAACTCTAATTAAACATTTCCGGAAAATACAAGAACAATTAAATTACACCTTCCGGAAAAAATACTACGATATTTTATTAATTTCCGGAAAACACAAAAAATAAAAGTATATTGCACAAATTTCCGGAAAAATACATTACTTTAATTAAACGTTCCGGAAAAAACACAAAACTTTAATTAAACCTTTCCGGAAAAATACAAGAAAATACAAAAACACCTTCCGGAAAAAATACTACAATATTTTATTAATTTCCGGAAAAACACAAAACTTTAATTAAACGTTTCCGGAAAAAATACATTACTTTAATTAAACATTTCCGGAAAAATATAAGAACAATTAAATTACAACTTCCGGAAAATAAACTACAATATTTTATTTATTTCCGGAAAATACCAAAAAAATAACTAAAAAATACACAATTCCGGAGAAAAACACAAAACATTTAAAAACACATTTCTAATTAAAGGTCCATTTTATCGCTAATTATTTTCGTCAACGCGAGGAGGACGCTAATGTTTGCATCTTTTTTCTATTTTTTATTTAAAAATTTTCTAAAACAGATTTCGAATGACTGGACATTTGTAGCAATGGTTTTAGACCGTTTCTTTCTCCTAGTTTTTTCAATTTTAAATATGGCTACTTTTTCAATTATTATTTCTGCCCCTACATTGTTTGATTTTAGAGAGCCGTTGAATATTACTGTCCCAAGTTTGTTTTTTTTTTAATTTTTTTTTAAGCTTTTTCAATATAATATTTAGAAAAAAATTTCAAATTTTTTTTCAAAAAAAAATTTTGAAAAAATTTTTTTGAAAAAATTTTTGAAATTTTTTTCTAAATATTATATTGAAAAAGCTTAAAAAAATTTTTCCAGCTAAAAATTTTTGTAAAAAATTTTCAAAAAAATTTTTCGAATTTTTGAAAATTTTTTTCAAAAAATTTTTTTTTAAATTTAAGCCCGACCTCTTGGCCAAGCCTACCACCTATTCAGTGTCAATGAAGAATAAAAAAGGAAGGAAAAAATTTTTTAATTTATCCAACCATTTTAAATAATTAAAATAAAATCGACAAAACAAAAATAACCTCAAATATTTTTTTTTCCTTTCTCTCAACATTTTATTTTGGAAATTTTTCTCAAATTTTTGGATGATCTGGCATGTCAGGACGAATTGTCTTTAAAGGAAAAAAAATTTTTTTAATTTTCTAAATTTTTTTAATTTAAAAAACCTTATGAATAGTTCCATTTTTATCAATAATAGCCAAATTAATACATCCCCCAGACATAGCATCACGACGTTTTGCAAGACAAACAGCATTTTTAACCAACTTTAGACAAAGAAACAAATTTTTTTAATTAAAAAAATTAAAAGCGTTTCTGATCATTTTAATTTATTTTTCTAAAATTTTTCATTTTCCCAATTTCTGGGGGGGGCTATAGCGTCAGAAGCCCCCCAGGCTATGCCCTTGCCATATACTATATTTGTTTAAAATTTTGGTTAATTTGTAAAAATGTTAGAAAATTTGATTTTGGAGTAGACTTACAAGGAGAGTTTGCGAGGTGTCCGAGTTAAAAACGGTCGAGACCGGGCTCATTCGATAGAGAATGTCCCTTTCTAGGAAGGATTTTGAGCCGTTTTTGCCCGTTTTTTGATTTGGCCAAGATATGGCCTTCCAAACAAACTCTTTGTGGTAAAGTTTGTTTGAGGGAAAACGGGAAGGTAAAAACAGATTAACTGGGAATCGAACAAAAGCAGGGAGGGAGGTTGAGAAAAAATTAGCGCCTCCTTATTTGAGGGAACAGGTAAAACGGTGAATTGATCAAAAACAATTTGTAAAAAAACAGAAAAATTTTTAGAAATCTTCACCCTTTGAATGGAACAGAAAAGTGTGGAAGTCAATAAAAACCCCCAAAAAAATTTAAAAAAAACCTCAACAGCCTCTTCATTCGACATTCCTTCCTTAAAATTCTTGTCCATATATCCATAAAGAAAAGTACTTCCACTTCCAGTAATGTAAATTTTTTGTCGAATAGAATAACCTCCAATAGTGACAGCATATATTTGCCCAAGTTTTTCTTCATCATAACCAGCAACAATAATACTAAAAGTCATTTGATCCCGATAATTATATGCAAATTTGCGAGTATATTGAGCAACGTTGTAAACAAGTATAGGCTCTTCATCAAGCATTCTAAATTAAAAAAAAAATTTTTTGGTAAGGGTAAAAAAATAAAATAATTTTTAGAAGACTAGCTAATGAGAAAACTTAATAGGACGTTAAAAAATTTTTTTGAGCAAATTCCTTTAATTTGGAGGGACAAGAAATAATCCGCTCAAAAAATTTTTAAGTGTTACTAACAAAAAATCCCAGCTAATTACTAATACTAGAGATCGGAAATCTTTAAAAAAAGCGGTATCCTAATTCTCGAGTTCAAATGAAAAACTTAAACATATTCTAACTATGTCCCTCTAAAATTCTCTAAATTTTGCCCACGACACAAAAATCAAAAATATCGGCGCCAAAAATGAACTTCTCCGCCTACCCCCCCCCCTCCACGAAAACTTTTCCTGACTACGGGCCTGAAACGAGGCATATATTGGGTCTAAACCTGTGGTTACCTTAATTGAGCCAAACAAAAAATAATAATTTAAAAAAAAACCAACGAATGTGCCTCAGCATAATACTTTACAATATCAAAAATTGCTTGAGATTGCGAAGCTATCCCAGCTCTTAACCCAACAATATGATCGCTAATTGTAGAAATTTTGTTTGTAGCGCGGGAAGAAATGTAAGAGCCTTGACTTGTACGAGAATCTGTTGCAACAACAATTCCTTCTTTTGTTTCAACAGCAATTAGAGTTGTCTAATTTGAAGTTTAGAAAATAATTTGAAAACAGAAGAGGTTTTTTGGGTAAAGGCGTGAGCCTTTCCTGTAACCGAACACAAATCCACACATTGTTCTAATTTGCTAGGTCTTTCCGAGGTTCTATGGTCTTTTATGGATTCAAAACCAAGGATCAAGTTAAAGTAAATCAAGCGTGGTAGGGTTGGGATTTCCGAGTCGGGCCTCATTTTTTCGTGTCATTTTCGAGTCGGACCTTATTTTATCAGGCCGGCCCAACCGAGTCCTTTTCGGGTCAAAATTCGATTCGTATCAAGACTCATCTTTCGGACCGGGTCGGGCCCACAACCCTAGTCTGTGGAATAAAGAGCAAGAAAAAAAGATAACTTAAAAACAGAAGAGGGGTCAAGGCTTACTTAGGATTTTCCTGCACATGAGTACAGACAGAGGCAGTTCTTGAGTTTTCGCTTTTTTCTATCTTTCCCATACACGGATTTATTTTCTGGACAGATTGACCAAGATCACGTCCCAGTAAATAAATCGAGTAGCCTAGAGAGCATAAGCCCAGACATTTTTAAAAATCCCAATAATTATTTAAAAAAAATAAAAACAAACCCCCATCGTCTCCTCTTCTTTTTTATATTCAAAATCCATTTTAAATTTACTTCAATTGTCAAGTCAAACTTTAAATCTAACACTGAAAAAAAAAATTATTTTAAAAATAAAAACAAAAATTTAACAAAAAAATTTAACAAAAAATTCTCCAAAAATTCAACAACAAAAATTCTCATCAAACAAGCGAAATAGTACGTAAAATTAAAAAATTTAGAGAAAAATACAAAAATAACATTATGCCAATTTTTAAATTTTTGTTGATTATTCAAAACATTTTTTCGTTTTTCTAGCCCAAGTAGGCGCAAAGTCATAGCTTGCTTCAAAATTTCCGAATCTTACCAAATTTGGTATTAAACGATTCCTCTCATCGAGCTAAAGAGATTGGTACCAAAATAGTTAAGGTCCATAAATTTTTCAGGTAGTTATGGCTTTGCGCCTACTTGGCCGCGCGCCTACTTGGGCGTGTCCCTTTTTTTATTTTTCTCGCCCTAATTTTTTTGGAAATTCCTCTTTTTTATTCCCTTTAAATGACTACTTTTGATAATCTAGAATCCCCCATTTATGTTTTTCAATTGCCCGCTAGAATTGTTAATGAGTTAGCGACTTTATTGGATCCTGGGGATTGTTGGGAGACGATAGGTTTGTTTTTTTTTTTGAATTTTTTGTTTAAAAATATTTTGATAGAAATGTTTAGATAAATTGAATAATTTGTCTAATTTATGTAAATAATATCCAGGCCGGCTGAAAATTATGAAAATTAGCCAAGGGGCCTTCTTGGTGTAGTTGGTTAACTCTCTGATTTTCAGATAAAGTGGGTCAAGGTTCGAACCCTTCCAGGAGTTATTAAATTTTAAACTTTTTAAGAGCCATTTTCAAGCCTATTGGAGTGTATATATTTACCTCTTATGCTGGCTCCCGTGGTGTAGTCGGTAAATTCTTTGATTACGTACCAAAGGGGGGCAAGGTTCGAACCCCGCTGAGGGACATGAATTTTGATTTAATTTTTACTCTCTTCTATTTAATTTTTAAAATAATTTTCAGCCTTTTTAATGCCCGGAATTCAGGATATCGACACCGAAGCATGCAAAAAACTCGCTGTTACTAGTGATGGCCATCCAACAGAAACTTTGCTTAGAATTTGGGGGTCAAAAGGTTATCGAATACTGGATTTGTATAAAATATTTTTTCGTGCTAAACTTATTCGATGTATGCAGATTCTGTTGCCTTTCGGTTTGTTTTTTCCTAATTATATTTTAAAAATGTTTCTCGGGCTTTCAACAATCTGGGTCTTTTATACGAATTGTAATTTGTGTGCCACATTTTTATTTTCTTCCCAGTTTGCTTTTAGATGCCTTTAGCAACTATATAAATCAAAAAGGATTTTAGTCGTTTTCACCCACTTTTGGAGAGAATTAGGAAGAAACTAAGCATGTCATAGATTTGAAAATTCCCGTCTTTTTCGTATTAATTAAAAAAAATTTTTTCACATTTCTGGCTAAATCCTTCATCGTTCTATCCTCTACCATCTTTTCTAGAATTTTAATGTTTAGAAGCATTTTAAAAGTTCATTGGTCAACATTCATACTCAAAAAAATTTTTGAATTCAATTAAAAATTATTTCTAAAAAATTTTTTAGTTGAACCAAAATTTCACAAATATGCCCAAGTATGTGATGAAGAACCTCAACAGCAACAACAAGCACCTTTTCCTTCAATTGGAAGAAATAATTTAATTAATAATAATTTAAATGAATCAAAAAAGGCGTCAGTTGTAAAACAAGGATCTTTTGGTGTCTATTCTCGTAAAGGTTTTTTAATTTAAATTAAAAATTTTGTGACATTTTCTTTGAATTTTATGAGTTTCGAGTGCTGAGAGTGCTCCACAATCTTTGCCTGAACAACAACATCACTCGGTTTATTTTAATTTATGAAATTGGGGACTATTTTTAAATGGGATTTATTTCTATTTTTTAAGTTCCTTTAAGAAGGAATTTAGCTGAGTGGTAGTGTGTTGGATTCTCTGTGTGAGGTATGTGGGTTCGATTCCTTTGCCTCCGAATAGCCTTCTCCCTTACTATCTGACTTTCTTTTTTATTTAAAAAATTTTTTTCACAACCAAAGAATTAGAAAAAATTTTTTTTCCAATTCTTAGCAACTAAAAATATTTTTTTTTAATTTTTTACCTTATTTAGAACAACTTTTTTTAGTTTCTATTTTTTAAATTGGGGGGTTTTTTTGTCTTTTTTTAGTCTCTTTAAACAAGGGGATTTTCTTAATATTTCAAAAAAATTTTTTTAATTCAAATTTTTTTTATTTATTATAGTCTGCTAGTAATGCAATTTTAACTGGTCTACAAAGCACTTTAACTGTCCCCTATTCTGATATAATTATTGCAACACAAAATTGGGCATCAGAACAAATACTTGGAAAGGGCGGTTATGGAGTTGTTTACAAAGGAAATTGGAAGCATACTGAAGTTGCTGTTAAACGAATTCAAGGGAAGAAAAATGGAAGAGGAGAAGAGTTTGAACAGGTTTATTGCTTTTTTTTTAAATTTTTTTTTGAAAATTTTTGGATCCCCCAAAAAAAATTTTTTTTGGTTTCTTTTTTGGAGAAATATGTATGGGAGAAAGGAGAATTTGGGGAACGTCTTAAAGAAATATTTTCTTTAAGACGTTGAATTGTTGATTTTTTTCAAAAATTTAGGTAATCTTTTTATTAAAAAATATAACCTTGGGGAGAAAGAGAATTTTTTATTTTCTCAAAAATTTTTTCTTTTCTCTCTTTCTCTCTTATTTTTGACAATTCTCTCTTGATGTAAAATTAACTACAACAACATTACTTTTTATTTTTTTAATTTCCCTAAAATTTCCTTTTTTTAATATCTATAAAGAGATAATCTACTATTTCTATTCAAAGTCGACTACTATTAAATAATTATATTTTTTCTAATTTTTTTATATGTCTCTCCATTTTTATTTATTTTTTCCCCTATTTTATATTTAAAATGATTAATTGATTTTTATTTTTTACGTCTATTAGTTTTTTTTTTAATTTTTTTGCTTTTTAAAATTAATCATAGTAAAAAGTAAAAATTTTTCCTTAAAAAATTTTTTCCCTAAAAAATATTTTTTTCTTTTTTTTAAAGCATCAAAAAGAACGTTTACGCCAAAGCTTACAAGAATTACGAACTCTAGCCAAATTTAGACATGACAACATTTTATCTTTATATGGGTATTCTTTGGATGGTCCAGAACCTTGTTTAATATATCAATTTATGTCTAATGGATCTTTAGAGGATAGATTACTTTGTAGGGTTAGTTTTTGGGTGTTTTTATGAATTTTTGTGGGTTTTGGTGTAGTGGGTTAATTTTTGGTTTCTACTACATGAGGGTCGTGGGTTCGAATCCCACTCAAGGAAAACAATTTTTGTTTAAAGAGAATTAATCCTATTGAAGCAAAAAAAGTGGTTTTTGATCCAACAAAATTAATTTTCTTAAACAAAAATTTTTTTCTCCTTGAGTGGGATTCAAACTTACGACCCTCAACTAGTAAAAACCAAGCATTAACCCACTGCACCAAAACAACAAAAGTCTTAAAAAAAATTTTTGCAAAGCAGAATATTTTTAATTAAGAAATTAATCTGTTAAAATATGAAATTGTTTTCCTTGAATGGGATTCGAACCCACATCCCTCAAGTATTGAAAACCAAAAATTAACCCACTACACCAAAACCAAAAATCTTAAAAAATTCTTTTATTACAAAAAATATTTAGGAATATTTTTTAATTTAAAATTTTTCAAGAATTCAACACCTCCACTTGACTGGCCTCTTCGTTTATCAATATCAAAAGGTGTTAGTTGTGGCCTCCATTTTCTTCACACAACGGGGACAATGCCTATAATCCACGGAGACGTAAAATCAGCAAATATATTGTTAGATAAACATTTTGAACCAAAATTGGGAGATTTCGGTTTGAGCCGAGATGGGCAATTAGAAAATTTTGAAGATGGGAAAAAGCCAATGATAGCATCACATATAAAGGGGACTTTAGCTTATTTACCCCCAGAATTTACTACAAGCCAAATTTTGACAACAAAATTGGATGTTTATAGTTTTGGGGTAGTTTTGTTAGAAATGGCTAGTGGACAACGAGCTTTTTTGTCTAATAGAGAACCTCAAGGATTGGTCGAATATACTAATAAATATTATAGACTGGATGGAGGTGTTAAAATGGCTGAAATTTTGAGTGATAAAAGAATTGTTATAGGTGAGAGGGGAGAAAGAAAATTTTAGGTACTTTTTGGACCCCCTCCTCCCCTTAGTCTGAGTCTCCTTGTTTTTTAAATATGTACATAATGGTCAGACTTTGTTGCCACTGAAAAATACTGTAAAATTAGGAAGCTGACCATTATGTATGTTAAGGGAAACTGAGACGCAGACTAAGGGGAGGAGCGGGATCCCCAAAAAGTGCCTGGGATTTGATAATTAAAAAATTTTTTTTCAAGGTGATAATCAACAATATAAACAAATATTTGAATTATTAATAATGCTAGGGATTGCATGTACAAAGGTGGGGGAGGAAAGATTATTTGTTTTAAATTACAGTCGGAACTCACAATAAAATAATGTTGCAGTTTAATTTTGAAAAATGGGCTGATTTTGCATAAAAAGCTAGAAGGGATTAAAAATCATTAGATTAAGAGAAAAATTTAAAAAAAAGGAATTTGCCACATTTTTGGAATTTTTATTCACGTGAATTCATTTAAATGAATTTTTTGGGCAACTAAAGTTTTTGGTGTTTGGACGTTTTTTGAGGCCAACAAATACTCTTGTTTGTTTTTAGGGGGGACTTATTCTCAATTATCTCTCAGAAATAATTTTTTTGCTGGAATTTTTATTTAGCAACACTAAATTTTTATATATTTATCCACTAAAAATTAACGAGAGAAAATTCACGTGAATTTAATTCTGTTTTGGCGAATTTCATTTTTTTAGTTTTTGTTAATCCCTAGATTGAGGTTCGACTGTATATAAAGAAACTATATACATGATATATTTTTTTATTTTTTTAAAGAATGATCGTTTTTTGAGGCCAACATTTTCCCAAGTTTTTGATCAATTAGAAACCTTAAATAAAAAGTGAGAGAATTTTGTAGTTTTGTTTTTTTTGATTATAATTTAATATCTTATTATTATCTGTGTATATACATATGTATTTTACTGGTTCTTTGGTAATATTGAACCTGACAGATCCCATTTTTTCCTCCCCAATTTTCCCCCTATATTTTTACAAAATGGTCAGATTTTTTTCTTTCTTCCATCCAACTTGCCTTTCTTATTTTTGCATACAATCAAACAAAAAAGCAAAAATAAGAAAGGCAAATTGGATGGAAGAAAGGAAAATGCCTGACCATTTTGAAAAATATAGGAAAAAATTGGGAATGAAAAAATGGGGTCTGTATGCTTAAGTACTACCGAGAATGTTGTTTTGTTTTTTTGATTATAATTTAATATTTTATTATTATCTGTGTATTTTACTGGTTCTTTTATTCCCCCATAAAATAATTCCCTTATTATTTTGAGAAAAAAAAGTTTTATAAACTTGAGTGAATTTTTGTGGAGTTGCCTAAAAGAGAACCATTATTTAGTCTAAAACAAGTTTTTTATTTAATCATTAAAAATTGAAAAAAAATATTTTTTTTCTTGAAATTTTGTTTCTTTATTATTTATATGTTTTTGTAAAAACAACAAAATTATTTTTATATTATTTTTTTATTTTAATTTGCGTTTAATTAATAAGTACAAAGATAATTCCCTACACAAATAATAATTCCTGCAATAATCCATTTTTATTTTTTTTTAATCCTGTTGTTGATGGAGGGTATTTATTAAACGGTGAGTTGTTTTAAAAAATAATTATAATATTTTTTGGGGATTTTCTATTTTTTAATCGGATTTTGAATTAAAGAGAAAAAAATTTACAGCTTGGCTAAACACATGAAAATATCATTGTTTAGCAGAGCTGTAAAAAATTTTTTTAATTTTAAAATTTTTTCTTCTTAATCTAAACAACAATAAATTTCTCCATAATTAATAAAAATTTCTCCATAATTTTTTTGGGGATTTTCTATTTTTAATCGGATTTTGAATTAAAGAAAAAAAATTTACAGCTTGGCTAAACATCTGAAAAACTTGTGTGTTTACAGAGCTGTAAAAAATTTTTTTTTAATTTTATTTAAAGATTTTTTCTCCATAATTCAAGCAATAATTTCAGAGCTTTTCTTTTAAATGCTGGCAGAAACTCGCCTAATATTTAAATTTTTTAAATGATGTCCTCAAAGAGAAGACGGGTTATTCGAACTATTTTTCCTTTTATTATTTTACTTGTCTCTACACTAATTATTTTTAACACTTTATTATTTAAAAGCAATGAAGATATTGGTGGAGAACAAAATTTAAAATTATTTGAGATTGAGAAAGATGTAAAGGTTTTTTAAAAATTGGGGGTCGTGGGTTCGAACCCGTTCGGGGAAATTAATTTTTTAATTTTTTTAGAAATCAAATTAGACCGTTTTGGTTGGTTTTATAATGATTTTCGAACCCAGAAAATTTTATTAAATTAGTAAATCTGGATTTTAGTAGTGCTGATGAGCTTTTTGGGGTTCGTGGGTTCGAACCCGCGTGGGGGAATTAATTTTTAAGTTACTTTAAAGACCGAATTGAACCGTTTGGGTTGCTCTTAGAACGATTTTTAAACTTAAGAAATTTTATTAAATTAGAAAATCGGGATTTTAGACGTGTTGATGATCTATAGACTTTACTTAGAGGCCTCTTATAACCGTTACCCTGAACAGACAAAAAATTTTCTTTAACGATTTTTTTCTAGTTTAAATGGAAAAAAGGACAAACTGTTAAAAATGTTGGGGAAAAACAACAGGTTTTGATTTTTAAAAATTTTAAAAATTTCAAAAAAAAATTTTCCCTTTCAAGGCTTGTAAAATTCCAAAACTTGAAGTTAACGGTTCTGAAGTAATTAAATTTTACAAAAAATATCCTCCATTGGACTGTGCTAAAAGGAAGCCTAAACCTTGGGTTTATATTGATGAGGAAAGGAGAGTACAACCGACAGAATATGCAAAAAGGTTTACTTTTAATTTTTTTGATTTACCGTATTTACTCGATTAATTCCCCTGGGAAATTAATTTTTTCAACCCATCCGTACAAGGGAGGGGAATTATTCGAGTTTTGAAATTTGAATGTGTAGTAGGGTATTTGGGGGATGGGGATTATTGTTTCAACTCATCCGTAGCAGGGGGAATTATTCAAGAGGGGAATTATTCAAGGGAGGAGGATTTATCGAGTAAATACGGTACTTACTTTATGGGGAAAAAGTCCGCAAGTTTTATCCGCAAAGTTTTGTCCGCAAATCTTTTATTTTATTAGTAAAAGGATTGTAAAAGAAGAAAAGAAAGTTGGGGAATTATTTGGGGACATGAGTCCAATACTTCAGAGGACAATTTTTTCTGACTGACATGAAAAAATTTTCTAGGTGTACACTTGCGGATAAAACTTGCGGACTTTTTTTTGGGGGCATAAAAAAGAGGAATAATTAATTATTTCGAGTTTGAGGGGCTTCTCTCGTTCCGTTCCTCATTTGAAAAAAGGAACAGAAATTTTCAATTCCTTGATTATTTTTAGGGTTTTAAAAGGTCCAAACGACATTTTGCCACAAAATTTTTCAAATTTTTCAATTTTTTTTTCAGTAAAATTGGTCTTCACAATATAAATTGTAATTGGGCATTTTATAGTCGAAAAACAGATTCAGAACTTGTTTGGACAGAAGAAGAAATTATTAGATTTGGTGCTAAAATTGAAAAGGGTGATTATGTTAAAATAAGTTGTATGGCTGGAAGTAGACAATGGTTGGTGAAGGAGTTTTTTTAAGAATTATTTTTAGGGTGAAAATCGGGGATTTTTTAATGACATTTTATCCCAATTTTTGTTGAGGGTGGACGGACTAGTGTCTTTTACGACATTTTGTCCAATATTTTTTGTGTTCTAGTTAGGGTGACATTTGATCCCAAAAAATTTTTTTTGGTCAGAATTCCTCCTGCCTTTCAATTAGTGATTTTTCTATTCGGTTCCTAGTCACAATTTTATGCACCCTTAATCCCTTTCCACGTCCTTTATTTTGCTCGTCCCTTTCCACATTTTATTTTTTGTCCCCTATTTTGCTCGGGTAATATTTAGTTCCACACTTTTTTTAATTTTTAGGTGACATTTGGTCCCAATTTCGTCTTAAATTTATTTTTATTTTCCTTTATATATTTTAAAATTATTTTAAAATTTTTTAAAGGAGTAATCCATTTATGGTTGTTGTTCCAAAAAATAAAGAAAAGAAGAAGAAAGACCCCAATGAAGCAACAAAACTTCTTCAAAATTCTTCAGACCCAATAAATGTTTATATACTTTCATTTGATTCGCTTTCACAAATGTCTTTTAGACGTAATTTGCCTAAAACTGTCAAATTTTTGGAAGAAAATGATTTTGCTGTTTTCAATGGTTTTTTTTGTTAAAATTTGGAATTAAAAAATTATTTTTAAAGGTTATAATATTGTTGGTGATGGAACACCTCAAGCATTTATTCCAATTTTGACTGGTTTTACAGAGGAGGAATTGGTATATTTAATTGAATTTATTTTATACTTTTTTGGGATGACATTTGATCCCAGAATTTTTTGATTTTTTTATTAGGTGACATTTGATCCCAAACTTCTTATTTTTAATTTTATTTTTATTTAACAGTTTAGGCGACGTCTTTTTGGAATTTTAATTTAGGAGACAAATCTTCCACAATTTTTTTTTGAATATTTTTTAGAGGTGACAATTGGTCTCATATTTTTTATGGTTTTTGTTTGGGTGACATTTGATCCCAAAAATCTAATTTTATTTTTAGTTGATAGTTTAACCAAAGTTCCTTTTATAATTTAAATTAGGGACATTAAAACCCCATTTTTTATATTTTTTTAGCGGATGACATTTGATCCCATTAGATGAAAAATTTCAAAAAAAAAATTTCCAGATTCCTCAATTCTTTATTTTTAGCCACTCACTCGTAAGCGTTATTCATCTGCTCGTTATGTCGATGAAGTTTATCCTTTTGTTTGGAACAATTTTTCAAATGCTGGGTATGCTACAATGTATGGGGAGGATGGGCATTCTTTTGGTTTTTAAAAAATTTTTTCTGTAATTTTTTTAAAAATTTTCTAGGCACCTTCACTTATCGTTTAAAAGGCTTTCGAAATTCCCCAACACATCATTATCCAATCACTTTTTTTCATTATGCCGAAACTTTAGATAATTCTAGAGTTTGTATTGGGGCAGAAAAACAGCACAATGTAAATATTTTTCTTTCAAAATTTTTTTTATTTTTAAATTTCTATTTCATTTCTATAAAAATAGGATTTTTTTTGGTCCCAAAAATACCAAAAAATATTTTTATTTTTTTTAAATTTTTTTAAAATTTATTAAGTGACATTCGGTCCCAGAAATATTTTTATTCTTTTTGAATTTTATTTTTTCTTATGTTTTGCTCTTTGAATTTTTAATTTTTAAGAGATTTGATCCTCCTATTTTTATTTTTTTTATTTTTCCTTTGTCCTGCTCTTCAACTAGAATCTGAAATTTTTAGAAGAGACAGTTGATCCCAAAAGAAGTTTTTAATTTTTTTTCTTAAAGGTCTGGTTTCGTTATATCGAATCATTTTGGAATGAATATTCAAAATTACAAATTCCTCGCTTTTTATTAATGCATCATTCTTATTTGTCTCACGACGATATAAATAAAGTCCAACAAGCTGATGATGATTTGTTTGCACATTTGCAAAAAATGAAAAAAATGGGTGCTTTTGATAATTCTTTGTTTATTGTGATGGCAGATCATGGAAATAGATTTGCAAAATTGAGAGAAACACATCAAGGTTTTTTTAAAAAATTTTGGGAATTTTTTTGGGGAAGATGACATTTGGTCCCAAATTTTAAAATGATCCCTTATAATTTTTTAACATACTTTTTTTTTATTTTTATGATCCAAAATGCCCAATTTTTTAATATTTATTAATTTATAATTTATTTCAAAAATTTAAAAAAAATTTTATTTTTGGGGTGACATTTGATCCCAAAATTTTTGAAAAATTTTTAAAATATTTTTTAAAAATTTTTTTGGCTTCAAGATAAATTTTAGAGTTCAATTTTGTAATAAATTTATTAAAAATATTTTTCAGAAATTTATTTTTTTTCAGGTCAATTAGAAGAAAGACTTCCATTTTTCTCTGTACATTTTCCTCAAAAATATAAACAAGTTTGGTCAAATATAAAAATAAATTCTGTGGATAGACTTGTAACACCTTTTGATTTTCATGCAACATTAATGGATATTTTTAGGTTTTTTAATTTTAAATTAAATTTTTTTGAAAATTTTTTGAAAGAGACATTTTATCCCATTTTTTCAGAAAATTCAAAAAATTTCAATAAAAAATTTTTTCAAATTTTTTATTTTTCGGTATTTTAAGAGAGACATTTTATCCCATTTTTCAGAAAAATTAAAAAATTTTCAAACAAAATTTTTTTTCCTATTTTTAAGATGGCCTAAACTTGGAAATGATTATTTTTCAAATAAATTGATGACTTCAACCTCTAAAGATTTCCAATTTCCTATGAACCGGGCAATTTCTTTTTTGCGTGAAATTCCATTGGAAAGGACTTGTAAACAAGTAAAGTTTTTATTTTTAAATAAAAATACAAAAATATTTGTGTTTTGTATTTTCCGGAAAATACAAAATAAAATTTTGTGTTTTCTTATTTATTTAAACTTTCCGGAAATGTATATTAATACGTATTTTATTGGTTGTATTTTCCGGAAAATTATATTTTTAGTATTTCCTTTCCGGAAAACTATATTGTTGTATTTGTATTTTCCGGAAAATTGTATCTATTATTTTCTTTCCGGAAACTTTTAATTTTTTTGTATTTTCTTTCCGGAAAAGTATATTCTTGTGTTTCTTTTTATTCTTTCCGGAAAATACATTTATTTTTGTTCCTTCCGGAAAATTATATATTTCTTCCGGAAAAATTTAATTATTTGTATTTTCCGGAAAATTATATTTCTTTTTATATTTTCCGTAAACATTTATTTGTATTTCCCTTCCGGAACACTATATTATTTTTGTATTTTCCGGAAAAATTTAATTATTTGTATTTTCCGGAAAATTATATTTCCGGAAAAGTATATTTTTGTGTTTCCTTTTATTTTTTCCGGAAATATATTTATTTTTGTTCCTTCCGGAACACTATATTATATTTGTATTTTCCGGAAAATTACATTTTTATGTATTTTATTTTTAAGGCAGGAATAGAAATACATTGGTGTACCTGCCTTAATTGGATTATTATTAATAATGTTAATGAAGTTATACCTTTAGCAAATTCCGTAATTGATAAAATAAATAAATATACAGAATCAGAACGTTCTCTATGTTCAAAATTGGAATTAGAAAATGTGGAGAGTGCAAAAAAGTGAGAAATATTTTTATTTTTTAATAAAAAATTTAAAAATTTTTTTTAAGATTAGTTCCAAACGATCAACTTTTAAAATATAATGGTGCTGTAGATTTTGATGGTTTTAAGCCTCAATTAAAAGGAAATGTTAAAACAAAATTTGCTACATATCAAATAGTTTTTATTACTACACCTGGTGCAGCTAAATATGAGGTGAGGGGGGAAAATTGGGGAAAAAATAATTTTTTTCGAAAACAAAAAGATTTTTTGAATCAAAAATTAATAAAATTAAGGTCTTTAAAATTCAAAAAATTTTCAAAAAAAATTAATTTTCTTTAAAGGTAACCCTTTTTTATGATGGTAATCAAATTAAAGTCGATTTATCTGCTATAAGCCATATTAATAAATACGTGGATACTCCACATTGTATTATTGAAAAAAATTATTTTATGGCAACTTGGTGTGTTTGTTATGATAGAATCTAGAATTTTTAATTTTTTTTACATTTTTTTATTTTGGTCATTTTTGCATCTTTTTTATATTTTTTTATTTGCATTTGGAAATATTTCTCTTGCCACTTTTATATTTTTTCAAAAAATAGCCTTTTAATTATTCAATAATATTTTATTTTCATTTAAAAATCTAATCTCTTTTTGTAATATTAAATTTCATTCATATATGCCTGTATTTTATTTTTTTTTCGTTCCTATCAAGTATTACACTTATTACATTTTTTCCTGAAAATACATTATAATTTTCCGGAAATTTGTATTTTCGAAAAATACAAATTTTGTGTTTTCCGGAAAGTATTTTTCGGATAAAAGAAACTTATTTTTTGTATTTCTTTCCGGTTCAAAATTTTCCGGAATAGTTAAAATAATTTTGTATTTTAATGTATTTTCCGGAAACTACATATACTAGCAGCTACGCATGTTTTATTCAAAATATACATGTTATTTTTTGTGTGATACATTTAAATATATATTTAAAAATAAATTTATTTTTGGTACTTTCCTGTTATGACGCAACACATTTAAATTTTTTTAAAAAAGCTAAAAATGTTCAAAAATAGTAATAATAAGCATAAAATTTTTTCCTCCTTTTTCCCACGTGTTTTCCCACCTCAATGGGTGTTTGGCGGAATTTGTTCTTTTTTTGAAGCAAAAATGGGAAAAAATTTTATGGTTCTTTTTGAAGCAGATAATAAGTACTAATTTCCCGCATATATTGAGACCAGTCTACCGTAGTGTTTTGCTAACTCTTAACTGTCTTAACTGTTTGTTCATGCCTAACTCTTAACATGCCTAACTCTTAACTTGTTGAGCATTTTTAGCTTTTTCAAAAAAATTTAAATGTGTTGCGTCATAACAGGAAAGTACCTATTTTTTTATTCATTATTCTTAATTTTTATATTTTAAAATTAGTTATTTAAATATTTTTGTATTTTTTATGATGAAAAAAATTTTTTATAGCCAAATGTAAATGAATGTCTCTTTCTGACGTATCAGAAACTGTTCCAACAAATACGGAAGAATTTACAGAGATTAGACCAACTGTTTCTCAATTAATTAATGCTATTAGACCAATAAATGGGGAGGATGGAGATGAGGATATGCAAAATATTTTGTATGTGTTTATTTTATTTTTTGTGTTTTTGTATTTTTTTGTATTTTTTGTGTTTTTCGTATTTCTGTGTTTTTTGTATTTTTGTGTTTTTGTTTTTTTCTGTTTTGTGTTTTGCGGTGTTTTTGTATTTTTTGTGTTTTTGTATTTTTTGTGTTTTTGTATTTTTTGTATTTTTTTGTATTTTTTGTGTTTTTCGTATTTCTGTGTTTTTTGTATTTTTGTGTTTTTGTTTTTTTCTGTTTTGTGTTTTGCGGTGTTTTTGTATTTTTTGTGTTTTTGTATTTTTTGTGTTTTTGTATTTTTTGTGTTTTTGTATTTTTTGTGTTTTTGTATTTTTTGTGTTTTTGTATTTTTTGTGTTTTTGTATTTTTTGTGTTTTTGTATTTTTTGTGTTTTTGTATTTTTTGTGTTTTTGTATTTTTTGTGTTTTTGTATTTTTTGTGTTTTTGTATTTTTTGTGTTTTTGTATTTTTTGTGTTTTTGTATTTTTTGTATTTTTTTGTATTTTTTGTGTTTTTCGTATTTCTGTGTTTTTTGTATTTTTGTGTTTTTGTTTTTTTCTGTTTTGTGTTTTGCGGTGTTTTTGTATTTTTTGTGTTTTTGTATTTTTTGTGTTTTTGTATTTTTTGTGTTTTTGTATTTTTTGTGTTTTTGTATTTTTTGTGTTTTTGTATTTTTTGTGTTTTTGTATTTTTTGTGTTTTTGTATTTTTTGTGTTTTTGTATTTTTTGTGTTTTTGTATTTTTTGTGTTTTTGTATTTTTTGTGTTTTTGTATTTTTTGTGTTTTTGTATTTTTTGTGTTTTTGTATTTTTTGTGTTTTTGTATTTTTTGTGTTTTTGTATTTTTTGTGTTTTTGTATTTTTTGTGTTTTTGTATTTTTTGTGTTTTTGTATTTTTTGTGTTTTTGTATTTTTTGTGTTTTTGTATTTTTTGTGTTTTTGTATTTTTGTATTTTTTGTATTTTTTTAATTTTTGTATTTTTCGCATTTTCCTTTATGATTTCAGACAAACCGACATCAACTCCTCAATTCTCTGCACTATTTGTAACAAAAATTTTAAAAATCGTGGATCAGCTTTATTCCATGCCAAAAAATCCCATTCAATTAAAATTTCAAGTATCGACTCAATTCTTGGAGTTGACACAGAAAACCGCTCAAAAAATTTAAAAATTTTTTGTCCTTTGGAGGAATGCAAAATTAAACAAAAAAATTTTTGTTCAGCCAAATTATTAATTCAACATTTTCAAAAAACTCATTTTGAGAAGAATTTAAAATGTGAATTTTGTACGGCAAAATTTTCTTTGGAAAGAGATTTACGTTATCATAATAAAAAGGTGGGGAATTTTGGGGAAAATGTCCGCAATTTTTTGTTTTCAAAATTTTAAAAAATTTTTGCGGACATCCGCAAATATTGTCCGCAATATTACAAAAAATTGGGGACTTTTCTATAGGGGAGAAAAAATTTTCTAATTAAAGGTCTGCCCTAAACAAAAATTAAAAATAAATAATTATTCAATAAATTCTGAAGTCGGAATTGGTGAAAATAAAATTACAAAGAAAGATACTGGTTCACAAACTGAAAAATGGCTTGTTCCTACAAAAATATTAATTGCTGGGAAATTTACAAAAATACACCCAAGAAGGTATTTTAATTATAAGAAAATAAAAAAATCAGAATTAAATTAATAGAATAATTCCGGAAAAATACAGATTTTATAAAAACTTTCCGGAAAATAAAATTAAAAACACAAACCGGAAAACACAAATAATTCTTAAAAAATACAAATTTATTTCCGGAAAGTTTTAAAAGAAAACCAGTTTTTGTAATTTTATTCTAATTTTTATTCCAAGTTTGTATTTTTTCCGGATGCTTTCTGATTTTTGTATTTTTTTGTATTTTCCGTTTATTCTGATTTTTTGTATTTTTCAGAATTTATTGTATTTATTGTTTCCGGAAGGTTTTAAAATATTTTTGTATTTTCCGGAAAATTTTTGTATTTTTCTTCCGGAAAATTTTTGTATTTTTCTTCCGGAAAATTTTTGTATTTTTCTTCCGGAAAATTTTTGTATTTTTCTTCCGGAAAATTTTTGTATTTTTCTTCCGGAAAATTTTTGTATTTTTCTTCCGGAAAATTTTTGTATTTTTCTTCCGGAAAATTTTTGTATTTTTCTTCCGGAAAATTTTTGTATTTTTCTTCCGGAAAATTTTTGTATTTTTCTTCCGGAAAATTTTTGTATTTTTCTTCCGGAAAATTTTTGTATTTTTCTTCCGGAAAATTTTTGTATTTTTCTTCCGGAAAGTTTTTGTATTTTACTTCCGGAAAGTTTTTGTATTTTACTTCCGGAAAGTTTTTGTATTTTACTTCCGGAAAGTGTTTTTTCGTATTTTACTTTAATTTTTGTATTTTTTCGTATTTTATTTTTGTATTTTTTTTATTTAATTAGAAAATTAACAACAACAGAAAAACACATTTATACACAAACAGAAATATATCCCACTCAACAACAATCAGAATTAATTACAAATTATAATCAAAATAATAATTTAATAATAAATACACAACAATATTTATCAAATCAAGAAGAAGAAAATAATAATAATTTTAATAATTCTTTTAATAATAATAATATTTGTTATCAAACAGTAGAAGAATCTACACAAACTTTTTATGGTTCTTGTTGTTGTTCTTCTTCATTTGATTTAATTGATGGAGTTGTTGATATGGGGGGAGGGGGAAGGTTTTTAAATTTTTTTATAAATGTCCGCGTGGGGTTGTCCGCAAATTTTTTTTGCGGACAAAATGGTTGGACACAAAAAAATTTGCGGACAAAATTTTGCGGACGTCCGCAAATTTTTTTATTTTTGCGGATGTCCGCAATATTTTTGCGGACATTTTTTTAATTTCTCAGAAAATTTTTTTCCAAAATTTCAGTCTATTGCGCAATAATGGCTGGACACAAACACCCCCACTATTCTCCTATGATCCTTATTTTAGTAATAATTTAATGGAAATGCAAAGTACAAGTGTACAAACGGATACAATAATACCTTCAATTTGGAATTTGTGAAAAAAATTAATTTTTTGGGTGTTTTGAAAAGTTGACATTTTGAAATTTAATTTTTTTCCTTCTCATATGATTCTCTTTTAATTTCTAAAAAATTGTCATCCAAAATACTTTTGCCTTTTTTAATTGCAAAAATAAATTTTTTTTCTGCCAGACACAACACATTTATTTAAAGGCTCTTTTAAAGCCTGTTTCTATTTTATTTTTATTTATTCTTTGGTCTTATTTTCTTTATAAACACTCTTAAACACTGCCTAGTTTTGCTAGTTTCAAAATGTCCAATGGACAAAAATGTAACGTCAAAATGTCCACTATTAGCCTTTTGGGCGTTTTGTCTTATGGGGGGTTTTTCTTTTCTTATGGGCATTTTGTCTTTTTTCTTCTTATGGGCATTTTGTCTTTTTTCCCTCTTATGGGCGTTTTGTCCTTTTTTCTTCTACTGGGCATTTTGTCGTTTTTTCTTCTTATGGGCATTTTGTCTTTTTGGACATTTTGACTTCTTACCATTTTGTCCACTGGGCATTTTAATATTCTAGCGGTGACTAAAAGAACAAATAAATACCCTCTATTTAAATATTCTCTGTTTTAATACTCCTATTTTTTGTTTTTAATATTCACATGACCCCCCATACTTGTGTGTTAAGCAGGGGAGAAAGCCCCATAAAACAGCTGAGAAAAGGGAGAATTTTTATATTTTTCTCTGTTTGGTAAAAATAAATATACTTTTCTTCTTTTTATTTTTCTCTTTTCATACAAATATTGAGTTCTTGTGACAGTGTGACAATTAAAAAAGAAGAATAAAATCAACCCAAAAAAGCTTAGTAAAGGGGCTAAAAATCGATAAAATTAAAAAAAAGTTTTTTTTCTTGATCAGTCTTTAACCTTTTTAAATTAGAGTTTTTACCTTGTTTTAAATATTTTATTTATATTTGCATTCCTTCGTCGATATGCATTTATTCTTCTAAAATAGTACATACATATACTATTTGAATTAAATAACCCCTCTAAATTAAATTTTAATTAATCGGACTTTAATTTAATAAGGCGTGGTGTAGTGGTTAGCGATTTAGACTAGTCTGACAGGCCGTGGGTTCGAACTCCTTTGTGGTAAATTATTTTTCTCTTTCTTGGATATTTTGTCATGTTATTAATTCTAGACTTGTCCGCTTTTTAATTTTGTCTTTTTTGGGATAAGTCGTGGTGTAGTGGTTAGCGATTTAGACTCCCCCCAGCCAGGTCGTGGGTTCGAACTCCTTTGGAGTAGAATATTTTTTTCTTGAATATTTTGTCGTGTTATTAATTCTGGATTTGTCTATCATTAATTTTTTCATTTTTTTATTTTTTAGATTTTTTTAAAATTAATTTAAACAAGCAAATTTACTGATTTTAATTAAAAAGAAAGAGAAATGTCTTCATTTTTTAATCGCCAACCAGAATTATTTGACACAACAAAAAAGTTTGGTGCTGGAACAAGTAGTAATGGAGGAGGAAATAATAATAATACTTCAACATCTTCTATGAAGAAAGGAAGTGGTTCTAATTTAGCAGCTGCCGGGTTGGCAATGATGGCAGAAAAGCCGTTGGGGCCTGATGAAATTGATAGTGTTCCAGGTTTCTTTAAAAAAACTATTTTGGGGGCATTTTAAAGGGTTGGGTTCCATTTTCTGTTATACTTTGTAAAGTCCGCAAACGTCTCAAAATAAAGAATCGTTCGAAGATCTTTCGAAAGTTTCAAATTTGAACCTTTCAGGTCAAGGTCACGGGTTCGAATCCTCTTGGGGTAAAACATTTTTTGTAAAAAGTGTCTTCATCAGAATAACTTCTAGACACCCTTTGGGGAGAAGACGACATTTTATTTTCCTTTTCTTTATCCTTCTTAACCCAATTAAAGTATTCTTGGTTTAGTTGGTAGTGTTTCAGTTTTACCCCTAACAGGTCGTGGGTTCGAACCCTCTTCGGGGAAATAATTTTTTTCTAAAACTGATTTTCTTCCTAATTAATTCTTGACACTCTTTCTACTTAAAAACCACCTTAAAAAATTTTTTAAAATCATTTTCAGAGTCCTGGGTAGAACTAGCTCCAAGCCGTGCCAGCCTCTCCTCTTCAATAGAGGCCGTCAATATTGGAGAGAATTCTGTTGGGGGAGGAATTATTAGTCAAAGAGATTCTCGTCTTTCTCCCGTCTCTATTCAAAGCCCAGCTGTTGAGTTTGAATCTTCTTTGGAACAAGTCAAGTATCGTTTGGTTAAGTCTATGATTGGGCCTGATGTTGGCGGGAATACGAACAAATCTTCGACTGATTGGTTGTGGGAGTGGGCTTATCGAAGCGATGGAGGGGCTAATAATGACAAGTATATAATTTTTAATTATTTTTATTTTCCATAGCTTTATAGGCGGACCTCTCTATAAGTTTTCCCTTCTCAGGGCCTCAAAAATCCGCACCTTATACTGAGCTGTTGCTTAAATTGGGGGTATTCAGGGTTGCCGTTTTCGAGTCGGGCCGATGGTCGAGTCATTTTTTCGGGCCTCATTTTTATCGAGTCGGGCCGTACGTTTCTTTTTCGGGCCAAATATCTTAGGCCCGACTCTATCCTTTGGTCTGTGTCGGGTCATTTTGGCAACCCTAGGGTATTGCTTAAACAGCTTTTTTACCCACTGGGCATGCAAGACTGAAGGACTTCTTGCAGTGGTGTATATTTATAGAATAAGTCCGACAGAAATAAATCCAAAATTATTTTTGCGGACAATTTTTTAGGGTACTCTAATTTTTGTTTTTCCTGTTTCCACACTTCGTTTTCTCTTTAAACTTACTTTTTTAACCTCCTAATCCTATTAACTATACCTTAAAATTAGTGAGACACGTATTTTGGATTGTCCGCAAAAAATTTTTGTCCGCAAAAATTTTTGCGGACAACCCCAAATTTTTAAAAAATTTCCAAAAATTTTCTCTTCAGACCAAAGAACAATCTAGTAATTAATTCAACATTAACAACACCTCCAAACAGTCCAGAACCAGAAGAGACTACAGACTTTTTTACTTTTAAATCCCCAGGGGGGAAGCTTTACCACCGCAGAATTGTTTCAAACAAAAAATTATTTGACTGGTCAATGTTTTGCCGTCTGGATGTTTTGCTGGCGATTGTGGTTTCGAATTTAATTACTGGCGCTGTTGTGTATGTTTTTGTTTTAAAATTTTTGGAAAATTGGTCATTTTGGGTTCTGACCATTTTGAGCATTTTTAAATTGTCCATTTTGGGTTCTACCCATTCTGAGATACGTGGGAACTGACCGCTTTGAAATGGTCGTTTTGAAATTCCACGGGGAGCTTTGTGACCTTTTCGAAATTGACCATTTTGGGGTTTGACCACTTTGAAAATTTTTTAGAAGTGACCATTTGTGAATGGGCGTTTTGAAATTCTTAGGACCTTCTTAAACGGTGATTTTTTGAGAATGGTCCAATTTGGGTGAAAAATTTTGGATTGACCATTTTGAGAGTTGGCATTTTTAAATTTTTGTCAACCCTTTCAAATGTTGACATTTTTTACTCTTTAAGCTATTACTGCATTACTCGAATGGAAAATGCTCAATCAGCATCAATGGATGATCCTTTCGCGCAGACTATTAATAAATATTTTTGGTGATGATGAGAGAATTTTTGGGGGGAATTTTTGAAAAAATATTTTAAATAAATATACCTTGAATTTATTGGGAACGTAAAAAAATAATAATTTAACAAAAAAATTGTAAATATATTTTTTACGAATATTTAAAAAAAGACGATTTTCTTCTTTAATTGATGTAAATATATTTTAAATAAAAAATTTGGCATAATTCTTTTTCAATCTTTGTCGGAGAGAAATGGAAATTAAATTCCTAAAATAAGACATTTGATCCCAAAACATAAAATTTCGGAAATGGTTGAGAGAGCCTAACTTTAACGAGTCGGGCCGTACGGGTCTTTTTCGGGTCAGATATCTTAGGCCCGACTGATCTTTCGGAATCGGTCCGTTTTGGCAACCCTAGTTCAAACGTATAGGTTGACTACTGGGGTGTTGACCTCCTGGAATCTGACCAGATGAGGCGGATCCAATTATTTTTGTTAGTATACGTTTGTCAATTTGTTTTTATTCAAATTGTATTTTATAATAATATTTACATAAAATTGCCAATTAATTTTTAAGGGAAATAATATATTTGATAGTTTATTTTTAAATAAAAACAATGAAAGCGTCAATTTTGTGTTGGGGAAAGCGGAACAATTTTTTAAAATTAAAATTTGTAGCACATAACTTTTTGCTTTTTCTTAACAATAAAACGAAAACTAAAATTTTTATTGAAGTTATGGGCTTTTAAATAATGAGAGTAAAGAGGGCAAGACACGATTAAATGAAGATGTGTTGGTATTGAGTTGATAACAAATACAGGAAGGAAATTTCAAAATGCCAATTTTAGTCGACTGAATTATGAAGTTAATGTTTGAAAAAAATTTGAGAAATTGACATTTTGAAATTTTTTACATTAAAAAGCTCAAAATTAAAGTTAATTTCCCACTAAAATTGGCTATAAAAATTTAAATGAACACAAATTAAGAAAAATATTTTATATATGCTTTATATAATAGTATTGTTTTTTTACCACAGACACCAAAGACAATGTGCATCGTTTATCCACTGTGATAAGGACATCTAAAAATTGAAAAATTAAAATGAGGCTTAGAGATAAAAAAATTTCCTCGAAAAAACATCTTTGGTGTAGTGGTTAACGTCCTTGCTTTCCTCCTTATAGGTTGTGGGTTCGAACCCGCTCTGGGAGATTTATTTTATTTTTCTCAAAAAACATTTCCTCGCTCCATTTTAGTGGAAAATTATTTTTTCTAATTTCTACCTGAAAAACTATCTCCTGGTGTAGTGGGTAGCGTCATTGATTCCCCCTTATAAGGTCGCGGGTTCGAACCCGCTCGGGGTAAAATATTTTAATTTTACCAAAAATTATTTTCTAATCTTCATTTCACCGGGAAAACATTTTTCTAGATTCTAAAATTAAATTAACAACTTATTCTTTGCCAAAAACAATTATTTATCAAAATATTAACTTACACATATGTTGCAGGGAATATTCCCATTTGATTGTTGAGTGTACCTTCCCACCAATTTTCATCTTCTCTTTTGGTCACTACAAAAAAAATTTTTTTTAATTTATTTTACAAAAAAGTTAAAGAAAAACCTGTAATAATATCCCCTCTTTGAAATCCAAGTTCTCCTTCCTCTTGTGGGGAGAAATCGAAAAGTGCCTAGGTAAATTTCAAAAAAAAATTATTTAAAAAATTATTTGATTGTTTTTGGTTAAAACAATTCCAAAGAAAATTACTAGAGTGTGGCTAACGTAAGAAAATGTTTTTGGAGGAAAAATAAAATAAATTCCCCCGAGCGGGTTCGAACCCAAGACCTATAAGGGGGTGAATTACAAACGTTTACCACTACACTAGAGTGTTGATACTAGGAGTGGGGATTCTACTAGGGATTTTAAAAATATTTTTGAAGCGTCAGAATCTTTTAAACTTGAAAAACATTAAAAAACAAAGAATATGTAAAAACTTTTGGGTAACCAAAAATTCGAAGGGGTCGTGGGTTCGAACCCGCTCAGGGCCCTTTCCTTTTTAAATGCTTATTTGTTCATCCCCAGGCAGTAAAATTTCATTTATAAGAGAAATAAAGGCAAAAATATTTTTTCCCTAAATTTTTTTACTAAAAATATATACTTGTACAAGTCCATGTTTATTGGAGAATGCCGAATCCATTGAGCGCAAAAGTACGTTGTGTGTTTTGGATATGCTGTTGGATCTAAAATTTGAATTATTAAAAATTAATTTAAATTTAAAATATAATTCATTTTTAATTTAGAAAATAAAATAGTAAAAAATCAAAAAAATTTTATCGAAAAATAGGTCGCGGGTTCGACCCCGTTCGAGGGTCGTTAATGTATTTTCACAAGGATTTAATTTAGCAAATGTTTTAAAGGTCAAATTGAGTGGAAAATAAAATTTTAAATTTATTTTTGAATCAAGCTTAGGTTTTAAAAAATAAACGTAAAAATAAAAGTTGAAGGGGTCGTGGGGGGGGGCATGGGTTCGAACCCGCTCAGCGCCCATTCCTTTTTAAATACTTTTTTGCTATTCCCAGCCAGTAGGATGTTATTTACAAGCGAAATAGAAGTAAGAAAAAATTTTTTCAGACTTTTTTCCAAACTATAATCGAAATAAAACCTGTGGTAATTAATCAGCTCATTCAGACTGTTGAACTTTTTTGCCCACAAGTAGTACTGGCCGAGTTTAGTGTCACGCAGAACTTTAAAATGTTGAACTGCATTGTCATATCTAAAAAAATTTAATAAGAAAGTGATTTTCGACTTTAAATTAACCTGACAGAAATTGAAAATTCTCCAGGGGAAGATTCTGAACGTCGAACGAGAAAGGCTCCGTCAGGGTTGCCTGGCTTTAGAAGGAGTGTCTGAATAAAAAAATAAATATTTGGTATCATTTAAAGAGTGAATATAACAATGGTAGGGTCTGAAATTTAGTTTGGAGTCACTTAAAAAATAGAGGGCCCGGAGCGGGTTCGAACCCTCGACCCCCTCAACCACCACGGACATTAAACCAAAGGGTAAGTATTCTCGCACTTAACCATCCTCACCGTATATTCCTTAGATATCGGGCCCTAAACAATCCTAGAGAACCAAAAAGTAACCAGAAAACCCAATAAATTCTTTTTAAAAAATTTTTAAAAAAAACCTCAGAATCACTCCTCGAAATATTACCCAAATACCAAGAATGTTCCATCATTCGAATATAATTTGAGGGAATAAGGCCTTCTATACCGCCAATTTCTGCTTTATACCAATGAGGGTCTTCATCTTTATTGAGTATCTTTAAAAGACAATTTCTAATTTTATGGGGTCGTTTCGGCGCCGAACAAAATTTCTTAAGGACGCCAAAATGTTCGGCGCCGAAATGTCCTTGTCACATATTAGACTAACCTTAAGTACTTGCCCTCTCTTAAAGTTTAGTTCATCCCCTTCAGTTGCATTAAAATCGTGTTCTGCAATTGCCTCCATATTTTAAATGCTGAAAATGAATTAAAAAGTCGATGGGGAAAATAAAACTTTGTAGTAAAAATAAGCCAAAATAAGGAAGATGAAAGAAGAAAAATGTATATGATGCCCTTTACAAATCTGTCAACCGTAAAATTCTTTTGGGAAAAAACAAACTAGAAAAACATAAAAAACAAAGATTTTTCTAAAGATGAATAATTAAATGACAATTGATCCCTTTTATTAATTTTAAACAGAACGCCAAAAATTAAATAAATTTGAATACAGTATGAAAAAATGTGAGACATTGAGGTCTATTTTTAGCCATAACTTTTTAAATTTTTAACCGATTTGAATAATTTTTGTATCAATCGAAAGCTCTAAATGTGCGGATTATTTTATCTAACAGGATTGTTCTGCTCAGATAATTGAGTGAAAAGTTACAGCCAGAAAATCAACGAAAATCACGATTTTTCGTCTTTACCCTTTTGTAACTTTTCTGTTAAAAAATTTAAAATTTTTATTTTTGCTTTATTTTGTAGCAAATTTAATTCTCTATCGAATGATATCAAAAGGATTTTTAAATATTTCTCCGTTCATGAGTTATAAAAATAAAAGTAGGTGTACCTCTAAAAGAAAAGGTGTGGGTATCTCCCTTACAAATTCAAAAATAAAATCAAAAAAGATGCCAAAAAAGATTAACCAATATAAAAAATTAATATTTACAAACATAGCAATTAAATAAAAAATCGGAAACATAAAAAATAAGAACATTTGTTGAGCAATGTGAGAAAAATGAGCAATTGCTCAAAAACAATTTTTATTGCTTTTTGTTATTTATTAGCAGCAATAAACGGAAATAAAAAAATAAAAAACAAAATCAAAGCTAATATAAACACAAAAAATTAATATAATTTTGAAAACCTTATTAAATCAAAAAACGAAAATTAATCAGCTGGGCGTTTTGTGGTTGTGACCAAATGGGTATGGACCAATTGAATTTTGACCCAAATAAAATTTGACCCAAATGAATTTTTTGGCCAAATGGAATTTTTAGTCAAATGATACAAAAAAATAATTCATAGAATGATTTTTCGATTAATTTATTTTATCGTTTTTTAAGAGAAAAAAATAAAATTATACTGCTGCTATTTGCCCTGATAAATAAATATAATTTATTCTCCTAAATAAATAAAAATAAAATGACTGAAAATATTGCTGTGACCAAATTTAGAGAATTTTTAAGAATAAATACAGAACAACCAAATCCTGATTATTGTAAAATTAATTTTAATTAAAAAAATTTAATTTTTAAAAAATTAGATGGCTGTAGAGACTTTTTATTTAATTATGCAAAAGAATTGGGAATTACCCCTTGGGGGTATGAGGTAATTTTTAGGGAGAGAAATGAATTTAATTTTAAATAAATTAACACAAGTGTGTGGACAAAAAGCCTTTTGTTGGAATGACTTTGTTTGGCACTAGACCCGAATTACCTTCAATTTTGTTGTATTGCCACACAGATGTTGTCCCCACTTTTGGGGAGTTTTGGACATACCCTCCCTACGAGGCTTTTAAAGATGAGAAGGGAAATATTTTTGCGCGGGGGGCACAGGTAGACCTTTATTATTTTCTTAAAAAAAATTTTTTTGAGGACATGAAATGCGTTGGTATTCAATATATTGAAGCTTTACGCGCTCTAAAGGCTTCAAATGAGAATAAGCCTTTTGTCAGGACCATTCACATACTGTGGGGACCAGGTATTTTAAATTTCAATAGGGTTCATAATGGTCATATTTAAAAATGTCCAAAGTTCAAAATACCCAATTTTAAATGCCCAGGGTTCAAAATGGTCAGATTTTATAATGATAAATCTCAAAATACCCAAATTGTAAAATGTCCACATTTCATAATGTCAACTTTTCATAATGTCCATATTTTCTAATTCGCTAGATGAAGAAATCGGTGGTCATGATGGCATGGAAAAATTCGTGGAGACTGATTGCTTTAAGCAATTGAATGTTGGATTTGTTTTGGATGAAGGACTTGCAAGTGAAAATGATGTTTATCGTTTATTTTATGCAGAACGTTGTGTTTGGTGTTAGAAAAAATTTTAAAAATTATTTTTTTAATTAAATAATTTTTAGGGTTTAAAATAATATGTCCTGGATCGCCTGGACACGGTTCTCGATTTATTGAAAATTCTGCTGGGCCAAAATTGGTAAGAGAAAATACAAAAAATACAAAAAATACAAAAAAATACAATGAAAAACACACAAAACACAAAAAAATACAAAAAAAACAAAAAAACACAGAAAAACACAAAGAAAATACAAGTGAAATACAAAAAAATACAAAAAAATACAAAGAAAAATACGGAAAAACACAAAAAATGCAAAGAAAATACAAAAGAAAATACAAAGAAAATACAAATAAAACACAAAAAAATACAAAAAAAAATACAAAAAAAAATACAAAGAAAACACAAAAATACAAATGAATACAAAAAATTAAATTTTTTTAAGACTTCAATTCTTCAATCTGTTAATGCTTTTCGTGAACAACAAAGAAAAAAGTTGGAAGAAAATTCTGATAAATTAAATTTGGGCGATGTGACGAGTATTAATTTGAGTAAAGTTGAGGGAGGTGTTCAAACAAATGTTATTCCTTCTGAATTCGTTGCATGTAAGAATATATTAAGGGGAAATACAAAAATATAAGTATCCGGAAAAATATAAATAATCTGCGAAACAATAAAAATACATAAATTCCGGAAAAAATACATTCCTTAAAAATATAATATTCCGGAAAAATACAAAAATAAAAGAAAACACAAAAATCCGGAAATAAAATATCAAAACATTCCGGAAAGCTAGAAACACATAAATACCTACATAATTTTCCGGAAAAATACAAACTTATTGAAAAATCCAAAAAATTCCGGAAAAAATACATTCTTTAAAAATATAATAGTATTCCGGAAAAATACAAAATATAAGTAAAAGAAAACACAAATCCGGAAATAAAATATTTTTTCAGAACATTCCGGAAAACTAGAAAACACAAAAATATATATAATTTTCCGGAAAATACAAACCTTCTCAAAATAAATATTAACGTTCCGGAAAATACAAAAATTAAATAAAACACAAAAATACATAATTATTTTACCCCACAGATTTTGACATGCGCATTACACCAACCGACGACTTTAATGTAAATATAAATTATTAAAAAAAATTTTTTTTAATTTTATAAAATAGACAATAGAAGAAATGATTAAAAATTGGTGTAAAAATGCAGGGAAGGGAGTTACTTATGAATTTTTACAAAAAGGTTTATGCCGCAAACTAACGCCTACGGACACTTCCGATCCTTGGTGGAATGCTTTGACTAGTGTTTTTAAAGAAGAGTAAATTGTGTTTTTAATGGAAAAAATTAAAAAAAATTTTTTAAGAAATTGTAAATTCCAAAAGGAAATATTTATTGGCGGAACAGACGCCAGATATTGCCGAGGGGCTGGAATTCCCGCTATTGGCTTTTCTCCAATGATTAATACACCTATACTTTTACATGATCACAATGAATATTTGAACGAAAATGTGTTTTTGGAGGGTGTTCGTTTATATACAAAAATAATTCCGAGATTGGCTAATTTGGAAGAATTTAAATGATTTTAATGGAGGGAGGATTTGTATTTTTGTAAAATACATACAATAGATTATTCCGGAAATGTGTTTTTAGACTACTATGTTAATTTATTTGTATTTTCCGGAAATGTATTTTTATTAATTCCGGAATGTGTTTTTCTTTAAATTTTAATTTTGTATTTTCTTTGGTTTTTCCGAAAGACTATTCCGGTTTTCATTATATAGGTAAAATAATTTATTTGTATTTTCCGGAAATTTATTTATATTAAAAGTTTTCCGGAATACTATTCCGGAAAGTGTTTTAGTTAGAACAATTTATTAGTAATTTTTGTATTTTCCGGAAATTATTTCTATTCCGGAAAGTGTTTTCTTATAAATTTTAATTAATTTTGTATTTTCTTTAGTTTTTCCGGAAGACTATTCCGGTTTTTAATATATGTCAGTAAAATAATTTATTTGTATTTTCCGGAAATTTGTTTTTATTAATCCGGAAGTATTTTCTTATAAAACAATTGTTATTGATTTTGTATTTTCTTTATGTTTTTCCGGAAAGTTTATTTTTATAAATTTTCTGGCAATCTCGGAGAATTGGGGTTTCTTCGAAAAAAAGTTTGAAAATAAGAAAAAGGATTTTTCTAGGGTAAAAAAATATGCTGATTACGAATCTGAACTCGGATTTTGAAAAAGTCGAATCCCGGACCCGAATTCGGAATTTGACCCCGGACATTGTCGGACATTGTACAAAATGGTCAGTCTTTCATATACAGGTAGAACTCATCGAGATGCATCGAATGACACCAAAATCGATGAAATCCGACATGATTGGACCAAGATACAGACCCCGGAATATTGAAAAACCATAAGGGTGATTTTTTGGAGTAAAAAAAGTTTATGCAAATGATAGCTCATTCGAAAGAGCTCGTCGAGCTGAGTCGAATGACACCAAAATTACAGTGATTCATCAAATTTTGGCAAAGTTATGACATAAGTCGCCGACTCCTACAGTACTCACATAGGTATACTTTTTGTCATAACTTTGTCCGATCAAGTCAGATTTCGTTGATTTTGGTGTCATTCGATGCAGCTCGATGAGCTCTTTCGAATGAGGTATCATTTGTATATTCGAAATTCGGGTTCAGGGTTCGAAATTTGGTTCGGGTCCGGGATTCGACTTTTTCAAAATCCGAGTTCAGATTCGTAATCAGCATATTTTTTTACTCTAGAAAAATCCTTTTTCTTATTTTTAAACTTTTTTTTCGAAGAAACCCCAATTCTCCGGGATTGCCAATTTTCTCTCGTGTCTCTCTCATTCTTTAATACTCCCTCTCTTCTCTAGCATTTAAAAATACAAAGGTAAGATTTGGCCAAAATAAAATTTTAATTTCAAAATTTCTTTCCTTCCCTACTATTTTCTTCATCTTCCAAATGTAAAGGAAGATCTGGAGGTGCTGGGGAATATGTTTCTTTTATTGTTGTTATTGTTTTGGGTGTATGATCCTCCAAATCGAAAATCTGAAAAATTTTCAAAAAAATTTTGGAAAATTTTCAAAATTTTTTCTTTACATTAGTAATCGTGTCAGTTCCATAAATATTTATGCATTCACGCGGATTTGATATAAATTCAATTTGCCATCCTTCTCTTGGCGTTCTACCTCCATTGTCGCCTACTCCTCCAGCAGGCCCTCCTCTTCCCTTGCCTCCATCAAAATCATCTCCTTTGGGGCGTCTTCCATCGTCATCACCAAGCAGTGGAAACTTGCCTAGAGGTTCAAGTCCATCTCCCGGCCTTTACAATTAAAAATAAAAATTAATATCCCTGAGCGGGTTCGAACCCATGACCCCCCTCTCAAACCCTCTATTTCCTATTTTTTACCCCTTTCCTCTCTTCCCATCATCTCCTCCATCATCATTCGGCCTTTTCCTTCCTCTTCCATCATCCAAATCATCAACCGGCCATCTTACCGGTGGGCCTCCTTTACCCCTCCCATCATCGTCAGCATCTCTAGGGGATCCTCCACGTCCCCCTCTATCACCATCCCCAGTATCTGGACTTTGTGGCCAACTGCGGAATGTCGCACCTTGCGGGCCATCATCTCCTCCTAACAAATATTTCTGGATTTAAAACAAAAATATTTTTTAGAACCTCCTTCATGCCATGTTTTTTCGCTGACACGTATACCTGGAGCACCAGGATCTTGTTCTGTAAATCGTTGATGGTATACATAACGACGTGGAGTCAGATCTCTTGGGGGATATTTCATTTCTATTCCGTCAGCCTCCACCTAGATTTGATAATTGAATGTAGAAATTAACAAGTCCTCCCAAAAGACCAACACCCTATTATTAGCAATGAGGGTGGTGATCTTTTGGGGTAATTTAAAATTCAACCAACCACTCCATCGCCGATAGGAGAGTAGAAAAGACGACGAGGTTTTAGCGATTTTTTCATAATATTTGGATCGTTAACAGCCTTGAAATTGAAAATTTCGTGGATATTTCGAAATGTCGAAAATTTCAAAATGTCAATTTTGAAATTTTTCGAAATGCCAAAATTGTCTTACCTCCCCTCCTTGCCAACGTTTCGGTTTCAATTCCAACCCAGAATCTCTATGATCTCCATACCCATAAAATTTAACAGCCTCATCACGTTCCTGGCTCTTTCTGAGTTGTTCCTCACGGTGTTCATGTGATTGAAATCTATTAAAATCATCCATACTTCGTGGCAATGCTGAGTATGTTGGCAAATCGGTCTTCGGGAAGTCCTGCCATCTCGACTGCTTATCTTTACTTTTGTCCCAATTTCCACGCTCCCAAGTACCAACAGGCCAAGGGGAACCACTCCCCGTCCAATAACCACTTCCTTGAGGGCTGTGGTCACGAGCAGTAAACATTTTTGGATTGCCATATCTGTCCCCTTCTGCTCCAGAGGCAGAATAAGGATCTCTGCCGTTGTTGTACCTTGTTGGCGAATAATCTCCGACACTGTGTTGTTGTTGGTAGTAGTTAGGCTAGAGGGAAAAGATGAATTTTAAATTTGAGCGGTCACAGGGTTGGGGTTCTTTCTAAGCTATAACCTCTATTTAGGCTACATCCCTTATAGTGATCCCCCAGGTCCTGTTTTATTATATTTTCCTCTTTTAAAAGTTGGTTGTCCACTGGGTGGGGAGCTGTTTAAGCGATACTCTCTATTTAACACACAACTTATTATAAGGTATGAATTTTTTAAATCCCTGAGGGCCTCTTATAATGAGAGTTTAGATAATTACTGAATAAGATCTCGCAGTCATCACTGCAGGCATTGTTGTGTCAGTTGTAGTAGTTGGGGTAACATCCCCAGCAATAGCATGGTCAGGATCAACCACATCTGACCAACTCACACCTTTCCGTTTCCCCCCAGGCCCTCCATAATAATCAGAAAGTGACATTGGAGTGCCGATACTTAGGGATTGTGTTGTTGAAGTTGGACGGTAATCTAGTAGGTCGTCGAAGGGAGAAGTGCCGCCATTTTGTTGGTGCTTCCGTCCATTGCCATAGGCACTAAGTCCATCCCCTCCTGCTCCTTTTGCCCCTCCTTTGCCTGTGCCACTGAGAGAGGTTCCATTGCCAAGGTTCTGTTTGAAGGGAAAAATAAATTTTATGAAATTTCAGGCTACCGATCTATGAATATTCCAAGGCTCTCCTTGGGCGTGATACTTTTTCTTTAGTTCCTCTTCCTGTTCCTTCTCCTTATCTAGAAATCCTAGCAAATGGGCGTTTGCATCAATATAGCGTTGAAGTTCCCTATGTTGGGAGGGTGACAATTCATCCTCGTTAACTAGATCAACACCATTCACAACCAGCTTGTCCTGGGAAGAAATTAAGCTAAATATTTTACTAATAAATTAACCGGAACAGCCGGACTAACTGAAATGGTTGTGGGCATGCACTGTAAACTTTTTTAATCTGTAATATTTAAAGGAAGATTGATAAAAAATACAAAATAAATACAATTTGTTAACTTTTCCGGAAATGTATGTGTTTGTGTTTTATGAAAATACAATGAACAAATATTTATTTTATAGTTTTCCGGAATTTTCCGGAAAGTAGTATCTATGTTTGTGTTTTTAGGAAATAAAGAAAATACATATACTTCTTTCCGGAAAATAATATAACTATTGTATTTTCCGGAAATTTCCGGAAGGTAATATTTATGCATGTGTTTTTAGTAAAACACAGGAAATAAACTGTTACGGAAAAATAATAACTATTAAATTTTCCGGAAAATACATAATATTTTTTAATTTTGTGTTTTTATGAAAATACAGAATGTATGTGTTTGTGTTTTCCGGAAAATCTCTTCTCTCTCTGTTTGTGTTTTATGATATATTTATATTTTCCGGAAAAGTTGTATTTTATTTTCAATTTAAAAACACAAAAAATACAAATTAAAGTATTTTTCTACTTGATCGATTAAAGCTTTAAAAAGCTTAAATGAGAGATCATTTCGTTCCCCTACATTTTAGCTTGGAATATTTGTTCTCAAGATTTTTTTTATAAAATCATTGCCAATATAGTGTTCTTTCAAGTCAGGACAAAAAGAAAAAAAATTTAAAAACAACAGGAAAATCTCTTCTCTCTACCCCCTCTTTCTAAGGTCAACACCCCCATATATTCTATAGACAGCTGATGTCACTTTTTAGAAAATTGGTTTAAAAAATAATTTTTTAATAAAAAATATTAAACAAATGTTGAAAATACTTTGAACACATAGAAAAAAATAAAAACTAAAAAAATATTTTTCTCCTATTTTCTTCGCTGTGTTCCCCAAGCAGGCGTTCACCCCTATACAAGGAGAAAAATTTTTTTCTTAGGAACAGATGGTTCTAATTTATTTTTTTTATTTTTCAGTTAAGAAATCTCTCCTCTCTTTTGTTAAAAAGGCATCATATGTTTTTTTTGTTCTTTTTTAAATATTAAATAAAATAGGTACACATCCCTCTTATTTTCACCTTTTTAACAAAAAAAATTTTTTTCGGAGCTTTGAACGGAAATAAAAAAATAAATTGAATACATAGGAGGGAGATTGTTGATTAAATAAAAAAATATTCTATTGAGGAAAAAAATTTTTTTAAACTAATTTGACCATGGAAAACTTAATAAGACAAGGGAGAGGAAACGTTTAGCCCCGAGAGCAAGCATCAATCTATTGTGTAGTGGTGACACTACTATATAAGCCACGCTAAGCGTCAGTCTTATTGGATCATACTAGCCCGGCTAGTCCCTGATCTCCTTCGTCTGTTCCAACTCTATCCCTTTGCCTACACATTGTTATTTCTCTTTGGATAAACTGTTAATCATTGAACGTCGACTTTCGTACAACCCTCGGACATAACACAATCCTGCTTCGCTCACCACATACAGGTACTCTACCGACTAAATTACCTGGGAGCTGCCTTCACCTTGTCTTTTAATAGATCCTAAATCCACGATTACTAGTAAACTTTCAAGCCAACTAGATCTCTCTTCTTCCTAACAATAAAATTTATTTTTTTTGCCTCATCCATGGACCCCACCCAAACCTTCTTTAAAAATTATAAAAAAATTTTTTTTAAGATTTATTCAATTTTATATTTAAAATTTGAGCACTAAAAAAGTGTATGTGTGTAGAATATATTTAATTAATTAATTAAGGGGTAAACACAAAAAAAATTGCTGCTGAGATTGCATTATTTTTTGGCAACAATTATTTAAAGTCATTTTAGCTCTCGAAAAATTTATTTTTAAATTTTTGAGAGCCAAAAACAAAAATAAAAATTAATTAATATCCCTAAAAAGCTCTTAAAAATTAAAATGGCCACTTGGGTCAATTTTTATTTAAGTCAAAATAAAAAATAGTCAAGTCATCAAAAAAATTAAAAAAAATTTTTTAAAGAGCTACAGATTGAAGAGCAACAAAAAAAGGAAAATAAAATAAAATTCTACACTAAAAATGTGTAAAATAATTAATTATTACTATTTATAGGATCAACAAAACTTTTAAAAAAAGCTAATATTTAAATGAAATATCGAAAGTATTTTTTAAAATTAAATTTGAAAAAATTAAATTAAAAATCAATGGCATGTTTTATAAGCGTTTTTAAGAAAAAATTCCAAAAAAATTTTCAAAAATTTCAAAAAATCCACTTGTTGGTTAAGTGGGATATTTTTAGAAAAATTTTTGAAGGGGATGCGAGTTCGAACCCTTTCGATTCCCTCTTCTTTTTTAAATCATAAAAAAACAAAAAATGCCATTGATGCGGCAGGCAGACATTTGAGGACGGACATTTGAGGACGGACTTTTGAGGACGGACATATGGGGACGGACATATGGGGACGGACATTTAAGGACGGACATTTGAGGATACAAAATTATATACAAATCGGCAAAATCTTAACAAAAAATGCCAAAAATTAGTGAAATATTGAAATAAATAATGATTTATTTGTAACATAAAATGAAAAAGAGCTTAATTCTAGTAAAGAATGCTTGAAACCAGAGAAAATCGTCATTTCAGGACAGAAAATTAAGGAAAAGATATCTTGTGCAATTTCAGATGGACATAAGACATTTTGGGAATGCTTAGTGGATTTTGAGTTTTTTTTCAGTGGAAGGTTTTGAGGGCTTATGTTCAGAGGGTGTTTCGAGGCATATTATGTTTATAGCTCGACGAATTGAGTATTTTACTCTGTTGGACATTTTGAGATTAGGCAAAAGATGGGATGTTTTAAGGGTTTGCTCATTTTCGGGTTTATTCATTGGGACATTTTTTCTTACTTTAAATAAGCTAGGATTTCCCCTTTTCAGCGCCGCAGGCGAAAATTTTGGAAATTTCTGAGGACAATCGCCAAATTTTTTCACTTTTTCTGAAAATTTATGAAAATTCACAAAATTTTGGCAAAAATTTGCAACAATATTGAAATAATTTGCAAAAAGTGCCAAATATTGAAATAACGGACAAATTGGCTAATTTTGTAGTTATTTTTTATTTTTTCCATATATCCGTCCTCAAATGTCCGTCCTCATATGTCCGTCCCCATATGTCCGTCCCCATATGTCCGTCCTCATATGTCCGTCCTCATATGTCTCACCACCATTGAGGCCTAAAATATATGACAAAAAAATAAAAATTTAATTTTTAACGAAAAACAAAAAAATTAATTATCCAAAATAACCACTCAAGATTAAATTCTTTCTGACTCTAAAATCTCAATTATAATTGAAAAAATTTATTTTGAATTTTAAAAATCATCAAAAATAATTTTGAACCCAATTTTAAAGCCTTCAACCAAAAATGTGCTCGTTGGTTAAGTGGGATATTTTTAAAAAATATTTATGAAGGGGTGCGGGTTCGAACCCTTTCGTTTCCCACTTTTTAAAAATCATAAAAAAACAAAAAAAAAACAAAAGTGCCATTGATTCCTAAAATGACAAAAATAAAATAAAATTTAATTTTTAACGAAAAAACAAAAAAATAATATCCAAAATATAGTGTCAAGTCAACCACACAAATTTAAACTTATTTACTCTCTCTAAAATCTCAATTATACATAATTGAAAAAATTATTTTGAATTTTAAAAACCATCAAAAATAATTTTGACCCCAATTTTAAAGCCTTCAACCAAAAATGTACTCGTTGGTTAAGTGGGATATTTTTAGAAAATATTTTTGAAGGGGTGCGGGTCAGGGGTGGGCGCAAGAGGCAATCGTGAAAAACGCAAAACGCAACGCAAGGCCAAAAATCAACGCAAAACGCAAAAAACGCAAAACGCAAAACGCAAGAACGCAAAATTCTGAAAAAAATTTTAAATCGAGTATTAGCCATTTTTCAGTTAAAATAGAAGTATTACTATAAGTCAGTGAGTCCTAGTTGATCTTGTGATACAATTAAGTTGGATGGGTAATGATTTGAAGGGGATACAATGGGATTATGAAGGATATTAGAGGATTTAGAGCGATTATGAAGGAGGGATCGAGGAAAATTGGAGGGATCAAGGAAATTTAAAAAGATACCATGCGATTACTGATGAATGTCGGATGGGTTGGGGAGTAGCGGAGGATAAATGCCTATCTGTAATTCTCAATTGATACCGTGGATATCAGGGGATTTGGAGGGATAAAGGGAGATCGGAGCTCAAGATATTGAACTGATATTTTTCTGAGCAGTTCCATGATCTACTTTTAGCGCCGCAGGCGAAAATTTTGAAAAATTTGGGACCAAGAAGCCAAATTTCTTCCTTTTTTAAGCGCCGCAGGCGAAAATTTTGAGAATTTTGGAAAGTCATAAGCCTGATTTCCTCAAGATTTTGCCCTCAGATTGGGTATATTTCTTGCGGTTTTTTGCGTTAATTTTGGCCAAATTTACGCAAAACGCAAAACGCAACGCAAGGCCAAAAATCAACGCAAAACGCAAAAAACGCAAAACGCAATGCGCCCACCCCTGGTGCGGGTTCGAACCCTTTCGTTTCCTTCTTTTTTAAAAACCTTAAATTAAACATCTTAATGATTTATCAACTCAGAATTCCTTCCTATTAAACTCCAAAAATTTTTTATTTTCGAAATAATTGAGATATTTCAACTTTAATTCAAGCTTTTAAAATTTCTAAAATATTTTTTAAAGCTCAAATTTTTTCCTAAATAATTTTTTTTTATTTTTTAAAATTTAAATTCGATATCTTCCTCCTCCTCTTCCATTATTACCAAAATGTGAAGAATCAGTAAATTGTTGAAAATAACGTTCACCTAAAGACCCAGCTTCTGTCCATTGACGAAAACGAGTAACGTGACAAAACAAACGAATACTTGGTTTTTGCATAGACCATTGACCTCTTCCAATACAAATTTTGAGACAAAGCAAGTCTATATTGGAGGTTTCGTAGAGAAAGTCAACACCCACAGCATAAGTAAGTAGACGAGATAAATGTTCCAATTGGTTTGACTGAAAATTGGGGAATCTTTGGATGAAGAAAAATTAAGAGAGTAGAAGGGAAGCTACTGGTTCATGACTACTTTCCAGGTATTCTCTCGTCCTACTTTCAGAAAGTTTTTGAGAAAAAGTAGCCAGGGGTAGTTGAAACGACATGCGCGGAGTTTTCCCAGGATAGCTATTCAATGGGAATAAAAAGAGAGGAAAGTGATTGATGGGACGTCTAATTTTCTAGGGATTTGTGTAATTCCTGGTACTCTACTAATTATCAGGAACGAGCCTGATTAGCCGAAACTAACTTTGGCGTTCTGAACGCAAATTTTTTTGTACACAAATTTTCAGCTTTTCTGCGCCGCAGGCGAAAATTTTTTGAATTTTAGAGGCCGTAGGCCAAAAAAATTCACTTTTTTTGCGCCGCAGGCGAAAATTTGAGGATTTTGGAGCTCAAGAAGCCAGATTTCTTAATTTTTAGCGCCGCAGGCGAAAATTTTTTAAAATTTGAGGGTTGTAGGCGAAAAAATTTCACTTTTTCGACCATCCTTCTCCTAATTTTTTCCCCCTTCCCCCATTTCGGGGGGGGGGGGGTGCTCTAGCCCTCCCAGCCCCATGGATACGCCCTTGATGTCAACACAACTTTCCTTTTTTTATCAACCCGTCCCATCCCCCTAATTATGGTGCTATCCATTAATAAAACTCAAACCTGTGAAGTAATAGTTAATTTCTTCAATTTTGAAAAGAAAGGTCCATAAGGAACGCTCTGCGGCGGTGGTACTCTAACCAAATCATGAGCAGAATAACCTCCTCCACTTCCATCGCCCATTCGACTAGTTTTGCAAGGAGAAGAAACAAATGTTCGAGAATTCTTTAGCATATTTAAGAGAATACTCATTTGCTTTCGATTTATCTAAAAAAAAGATGTTAGAAATCCTCAAACAAATTCAAATAATAATATAGAAAGGTTAACCCGTATTAATTAAAAAAACCAGGAGAACAAGAGATGAGGGAGATTGACACACGCTAATTTGGACTGTCTCTAGTTCCCATTCATTTCTTCCTAAACCCAAATACTTCCATTTTTCTACCCCTAAACAAATTACAGTCCATAAGACTAACCCTCGGTTTCAATTTCCAAAATTAGGGTTCCAAGCAGTACAAGTGGCATAAGACGGAAACTAGAGTGTTTACCAGAAGATTTTAACTAAGGGTTAGAATAAATTAATGGGGATATAGTCCTTGCAGTAAAGGTGGAAGAACTAAACAAAAACTAAGGTAGGCCATACTGCCTGGACTAATTTTTCTAAATTGAGAAAAAGGCTGGAAGACAAAGGGGTATGCGCCCCATGGTGCTGTGTGATTTCGGCAGAAGTGACGTAGGCAGTGGTTAAATGGGCAGTGAGTGATTTAGGCAGTGAGGTGAATTGGGCAGTGAGTAATTTGGGCAGTAAACGTTTTTTAAAAAAATATTTTCCACATAAAAACAATTTGAGTATCATAAGATTTTGAGTGATTTAGGCAGTAAATTATTGTTTTTAAAAAACTATAATGCTCACAAATTTAAAAGTATAACTTGAAGTGTAAATGATCAGCACAAGCTCGGAGACATAATATATTCAGAAAAAAATATATTTCAATACAAACTTGAGCCCTAGCCCTGAGGAATGAAATTTACTGCCCAAATCACGCATAATTATTTTTCTGTTGATACTCAAATTGTTTTTATGTGAAAAATATTTTTTTAAAAAACGTTTACTGCCCAAATCACTCACTGCCCAATTCACCTCACTGCCTAAATCACTCACTGCCCATTTAACCACGCCTACGTCACTTCTGCCGAAATCACCAGACATGCGCCCCATTCCCTATCCTTTCTTCCCAAGTCCTCCTAATAACAAATTTGCTACAAAAAAAGAAACCTGTGAAACAAGCAATTCAATAATCGGCGAATCCATACACAATTGCTCAACAGAATGGCGAAAAGCTGTTAACAATTGAACTAGAGCAAGCACATCTCCATGTCGCATTTTTGTATCTACAGCTATTCCAAGCTCATTTCCACCCATTTGGACAAGTACAAGTTTTGCATAAGGATGCCAGTCTAGACAGCCTTCTTTAAAAATTTTGAAGAAATTTTTAGTCAAAAATCCCGAAAAAACCTTTCCCTCCAATAGATCCACTTCCCTCACATTCCTCACACATTTGTGCTAGTCCATTGTAGCAACGAACATTGATTCGGGTAAATTGACGCAGTCTGTTATCAATAGCCCGCTGGAAGGTTTTGGAGACTCGACGCCAACGAATCTTTAAAAAAATAGAGAAATTAGATAATATTAAATAAAAATGCGTCCAGCTCCTAATAAAAATCAATAAAAAATCCTAAAAATTTTTTAACACTAGAAAAGCATATTAGTGGACTTTTACTCGATCCTAAAGTAACTTACAAAATGTTTACACCCAAAAGGACTCGAACCACCACACCCTAAATAACTAAGTCCAAATCACTACCAATCAACCACAAATGACCTTAACCAATTTAATAAAATAAACCCTTACATATCTCAACAAAATTCCTTATAGAGTAGAATACAGCTAAAAGGCCGTTTTGTGAGTCTTGTAACCTCAACCAAATTCTCAAAAACTCCAAAAAATAACCTGATCAAAAATTGAGCAATGAACCGCCAAATGTTCAATTAAACGATTCTGTTCGCTTGTAGAAGGATTTGTAGAAAAACGTGGAGGCAAAAGGCGGCAAAGGCCATCAAAAAAGTGTAAAGGTAGAGTTAACGCCATTTAAATTTAATTAAATTTTTTCTTTTAGAGAATATTTTTGTCTCTAAATAATATTAAAATTAATTTTAGTTTCGCCATAAAATTAAAAAAATAATTAATTGGAAGACTGATCAAAGAATTTATAAGGGGGAAAGGGGCGCGCATTTAAAAACCAAAAAAATTTTTTTAATTGAAAATTACTAATGTGATAGTGCTCTCATTTTTAATTGAGAGCCCATATTATCATTAAAAATAAATTAAAAACAAAAAAAACTAAAAAGCAATTATTTTTAAATCAAAGAACATTGAAGTATAAGGTGAAGAACACAACCTCTCCCCACCTCTATAACTTTTGCCCACGAAAAGATTAAAAAAAGGTTTTGGTATCATTCGATAGAGGAGAAAATTTACTACAAAAAACAACAAAAATAAATATAAAATTAATTAGGCAAAAAAAGTTAGGGGCAAAAAAGCGTCGAAAGGTGCTTCAAAATGATCTCTAAAAAATTCAGTTTTCGGCCCCAAAAATTTTCCCACTTAACCAAACTTTCAACTTTTTCCTATTTTGTAGCAAATTTTCTCCTCTATCCAACAACACCAAAATCTTTCAAAAATGTTTGGCCCTTCAAAAGTTATGCAGGTTTGAACACAGTCAAGTGGGTTGGGGTCGTTTTGGCGCCAGCCGTTTTGGCGCGAGAACTAAAAACTGGTACCTAGGCGAGGCATAAATTCTTAAAAATTTTCTCAAATTTCCTTAACATCCTTAACTACCTCCTCCAAAAATTTCAGAATTTTTCATAAAATATTTCTGAAGTTATAGCAACTCGCTATCTTATAAGCTTGCGCCAAAACGGCCCAGTCCCCAGTCAGGTCCCTCCCTAAAGATCATGCCCAGACTCTAATGTCCCTTTTTGTAATTTTATATTTTGGCCCCCCAACATTTTTTTCCTTCCTTATCAGCAACAAAGAACACTCCAACAAAATGTGTTTGTTTCAAAGATAAAGAGTTTTTGAATAATGATGTGAAGGAATGGAGTTTATTATACAACGTGGAGAGAAATGTGCAGGGGGGAAACTGGTGTAAAAATGGAAAAAAAATGAAAAATGGATCGACGAATAAATTTAGAAGGGAAGGGGATGGTAGGGGGAAACTTCAAAAAAAGTATTTAACATAAATTTATAATCCCCGAAAAATTTTTTTAGAATTTTTTTTTCAATTTTCAAGGGTACCCCAAAAGATCAACACCTTCAGGATTTAATTTCGAGTGGTGATCTTTTGGGTTGACCTCCTTTTTAAAAAATAAAGGCAGAAAAACACAAAAAAAGACCACTTTTCTTGCCTTCTTCGATAATAACTTGGAAAATGTTTAACCAAAAATTCTGAAATTTGTGGAAGAAGTAGTCAATACTCTTAGGAATAGACGAAAAATTTTTTAAAAATTTAGGTGACATCCCAAGAAAATTTTTCCAGACCCGCGCCCAAACGTTCCTCGCGCCCAACCAACCCTCTCCAACCTATAATTAGAGTAAGAAGCAAAAATTCAAAGTGAAGGAAGATTGAAAATATTAGAAAGGTTAAGTAGTCGGTAGGGGGCACGTGTTAACGTCAAAATGGATGATTAGAAGATTAAAAAGAAAAAAAAGTTAGAGAAGGCGATCAGGCGTTAAATTTTGTTTTGTTTTTTATTCAAGAGGACAAAAAATTTTTTGTTCAAAAAAAATTAAAGACAAACAAAAATTTGTCTAGAGAACATGGTAAACAAGAAAAAATAAATGTGTGTATGTACTTTTTGATTAAAAAAAATTAAATTAAAAAATGAGGAAAAATTGCTCTGCTTCTGGCCCATTGCACTAATGGATAGAAGGGGGAGTTTAATTGAAAAGTTGTAGAAATGTGAAATTTTATTTTTATTACTGTTGTGTTCGTACTTGAAGAAAGAATATACATAAATGAATAAAAAGAATGCATAATTGGGGTCGGATGTTGGCACAATCAGTTGTGCTTCGGTCTGGGCTGATTCCAAGATGATTTGGAATTCCAAGATAATTCCATTCCATGATTCCATCTCCCATCTAAGAAATTTAACCACAAAAACATAATAAATACAATTTTATAGACGAGAGTAGGGTTGTTGGTTCTTGGAAGATCTTTGGATATCCGGAACCGAACCGAAGAACCGAATCGAAAAATCATCGGTCCTTTGGTTCAGTCCAGAACCGAAACCCTAGACAAGAGTAATGTTGTCGGTTTTGAACTGAATCGAGCTGAAGAACCGATGATTTTTCGGTTAGGAATGTACAGATTTTCCAAGCCCCTACAACCCTAGACAGAAGAAGTAGAATATAAGATAGAGACGTTTTCCGGTGTTGAACAGATAAAATTCAAGTTCAACACGACAAAAAATCTAGATACAGACTCTTAAATGATCTACGATCATTTAAGAGAAAAGAAAAAAATTGGAAGCTCTCTCCAATATTTCTGTTTAATTTCTAAAGAAGCGCAACGACAAAAAAATAAAAATTCAAAACTAACAAAAAAACTTTCTTTTTCTAAATTTTCTAAACAAACAGAGAGAAAACAGGTGAAAGCTTTTGTCAGCTAATATAAAAAGAAAAATGAGAAAAGCTAAAAGCCAAACAAATAGTTTTGGGAAGCTTAAACAGACAGGAAGAAAACGGAAGAGGAAGAAGAAAAGCTTCTGGTGCTCAAAAAAATTTTTTTTCATTGATCAATTCTTTCACATTCTTCTCCTCCTTCTCCTCCCTCCCCCTCTCCCTCCCTCTCCTCTCGTCAAAGCCCCCTTCAAGTTATGTGAAAACCAAAACTTTAAAGTTGTGTCAGTTAGTGGGAGCTTTAAATACAAGAAATCAAATAGAGAAGTGATGGTGAAAATTTAAAAAAAGCGAATCGAGACACTTAACATATACATATAATTTTCAATATTTAAAGAACAAAGTATGCGTTCTTTGGATTAAATTAAATTGAGTTTAAGAAAAAAATAATTTTTTTGAAATTTGCTGTTTGATTAGATATAGTAAAGCAGCTGGGATTAGCTATTTCTCTCCTTTAGCTAGTGCAAAATGTTATTCGGCGGCTGGGAGCGAACCAGCATCTTCAGTAGACCGGACTGATGTGTTAGCCATTACACCACGCCGCCTACTGCTCAGCCTTAGGAAATTAATAGCTATATGATTTACAATATATTAGATTGAAACAAGAGGAGAAAATGACTAGGAAGAAATGACTGAGGAAGAAATGACTGACCATTTCGTACATCAACTTGAACACGGACTGGGGGAGGGAAGGGAACAAGTACCCTTTTTCCCTACCCGTTCCGTCCCTGATATATGTATTAGTGAAGGGAAGAGTTGGGAAAAAGCATAGGATTTCGGTTTCTAATCGATGATATAACTAACGATTTTGTGTTGGAAATAAAACAACAAGTGTCACCATGTGTGTGTGGTATATTTAACTGTGTGTAATAGAATGAAAAAAAATTGAAAGAAATTTTTTTAAAGCTTTTAGTCTGATAAAATGTGAAAAACAAAAGAATGAATGATGTGAGGCTTTGATTTGTAAAAAATTGTTTTGATTGTAATAGTATTATTCCAACAAAATTTGTGAAGGTTTTTTGAAAAGATAAAAACTTTTTTAAGTTGACTGATTGATTTTGTAAATAAAACTGAGAATCTAGAAATATAGCTTGCCCTTAAAATAAAAAATAGCTAAAATTTAAATTAAAACATAGAGATCGGCCTGGATCCAGACTTAGATTTCTCTGGAATCCTAAGTCAAGATCCAGTCAATTTCCTTGACTCAAGGTCAAGAATCTGGTCAAGGTCCTCAACCAAAATCAAGATTTTAAAATTCCCATCTCTATTAAATCAGCATTCAAAACCTGAATTTAAAGAAGTTTCCAAGTATCTCAAACGCTTATTGTCACGTTATTTTATTGAACTGTGGACTCTAATGTTTCTGCTCCACCTTATTATTGATTAAATGTAATTCCTCCATTCAAGCCAAAAATGATTAGAAAAATTGCTAAAATAACTAAATAGATTGATAAAAAGTGCGAAGATATGATTAGAAAATGAGAATAAACTAAAGGCAATAAAAATTAACGTGACTGTAACAAACACACAAAATTGTGATCACTTTTATAGAGAAAATTAAACAATAATGATAATACATTTAACATTTTTTGACGATATTAAGTAAAGGGTTTGCTATTTATTCGGTTAATTTTTCTAGAAAACTGCGCTCGCAACGATCTATGTAATAAATGTGTTTAAGAGTGTGTGGGAAATTTGGGGAGAGCGCAACTGGGGCAAAGGTGAACAAATGAAATGCTATTTGACATTAGAGTGGCAGAAAAGCTAGAGAAAGTTAGAGAAATAGAGGAAAAGAAAGAAAAAATTATTGGTAAAATTACGAAACACCAAACGGACAAAAGGCCTAATAGAAGAAAAATAGCAAGAAGCCACAGCTAAATTGACCAGTAGAGTCTAGCTTTAGTTATTCATTGTGTAAGTTGGTCTTTTGAAAAATTCATACGTCATAAAATGTCGAAATAAAGAAAAGGCAGAGATCACTATGCAATGAAAAAATACACAAAAGAAAAAATGATGGCAAAATTATTATTGGCTACCCTACAACTCATCGAATCCTTAACTCATCGAATCCTCAACTCATCGAATCGGCCAAAAACACTCAACTCATCGAATCCTTAACTCATCGAATCCTCAACTCATCGAATCGGCCAAAAACGATCAACTCATCGAATTTTTCCAAAAGGGGACGTTTGAGTCCCCGTGTTTATTTTTTAGATTTTTTATTGTTTTGTTTATTTTTTTTGTTTTCTTCTGGGGTTTCAACTAATTTTGTTAATTAGTTGATCGGGCACTCATCCAAGTTTATCCGGCCAGTGAAAACATTATCAGAACATTATCTCATTCCTGAAAACATTATCTCATTCCTAATAAATTATGCGGAGATTTTACCGGGTAAAACCGGACCAAAT